CTGTTTTAAAGGTTAAAGCGATTATCAAAAGTAATGCCTTCGAGATAAATCACTTAATCTAACTAGGAAGTATTTGCTGTGCGGATCCAACAGGATGTGTGTTTGCTCTGCTATAGAACAACAATGCCCTCCGAAAACTATTAAAACCTGCATGTAGACAAACACCGATATTATTAAATTACAAAAGAGTCAATTGATAACTTCCATGTGTGTCTTTAGTGGGTTAGGGAAATTGTTATTGCTAAATAAAACAAGTCAAAAAAATATTTATCCTTCACATCCAAATTCCCAGAAGACAATCAGTGCCGTTTAAATATGAACATAAATATCTTGAGTTTAAAAGAAAGAGGAAATTGTTTCTAAAGCACCCTGCTGGGAGGAATACGGTGCTTCACAAACACAGGAAATGAGCCTTGTTTATTATAGAGGCCAAAGATAAGCACTGTGGGTCTTTTGGTGTCTGAGAGGCGGCAGAATCAGACAAAACAACAACAACAACAACAACACACTGTGGTTACGTGACTTTAAACAAGGAGCAGCTACTGTAGGAGGATGAAGTGAATATATATTTTTAAAGCTTGTTTTTTGGACGTCTCACCTATGACTCTGCGGTTGAAGTAGTCGGGCAGCATCAGTTCGCAGACGGCCACCAGCAGCCAGAACGCTTCTTCTTCTTTGGCGTAAAGCAGCAGCACCGACGCCAGGATGTTCATCGACTGACCACAAAGACATTAGAACAACTGTTAGTTCATAAAGTGAAATAAACGGGATAATGTGCAGCGAGGCGGCGATTAGTGAAAAAGGTTGAGAGTTCTTTCTTCAATAATGACCGCCAGGCTCAGGGGTGTCAAACTCAATTTCATCGCGGGCATCATCAGCATTATGGTTGCACTCAAAGAGCCGGTTCTAACTTTAAGACTATATAAATATACATATATAAATATACAATAGATATAAAATAATGTATTATGTCACATTATTGCCTCTGCATTGGATTATTATCAGATAGGGTAATAACTTCATAATTAACTACGTCTGAAAGCAGAAGTCTACGGCAAATAATTGCAAGTCTCAGTGCCATGTCACAAAATGAGATGCATTGTGGGACATGTAGTTTATGGGCAACGTATTATATTCTTTGCAAGCTCTTGGGGGTTCGAGCTGCAAATTATCCCTTACTTCTATTATTACAATACACTATGTACATTTCCCAAAGATATTGAAGTGACTGTTAATTTGTATATTTGATTATTGTGCTTTTATTTATGTCTTAATGTGTGCATATGTATACATGTGTGAGGGCGGCTGTGGCTCAGTAGCTAGAGTGCTGGACTTCGAATTAGGGGGTAGCTAGTTCGAGTCCCACTGCAGTCAGCATGTCGTTGTGTCCCTGAGACACTTCACCCAAATTGCTCCTGTGGGGATTGTCCACAGTACTGAATGAGTAAGTCGCTTTGGATAAAAGCGTCTAACAAGTGACATGTAATGTAATGTAATAGATATATATACATATTTTTATATATATTTGTATTTTTGTATTGGAGATTGTGGGAAACGGTATTTCGATCTCGCTGTACACACAAACTGAAAGATTGACAATAAAGTTGACTGACTATTATGAGTATCAAGGAACCCCCATGCAGTCACATCCCTGTCTCTGCACAGCGCCCCCCGGTGGTCGTACCTGGCAGTATCCGATCTTGGGGTTTCGGTGGGCGTATGCGGTGAGTACCTCCTCGCGCGGCGATGCCGGGGGTTCTGGAAGGCAGGATGGTCGGGCAGCGAGCGGTGCAGATCCCGCTCGATCTCGTCTGTGGTCAGGCTGATCTGACCCATCGACTTCTGCACCAGACCGCTGTAGTAGCCGGGGTGGGCCTCCAGCTCCGAGTACGCGTCTGCAACAAAAACAACTTTTCTTTGTCACATTATAACTGTTTTTAAAATGAGGAGAAAGCAAAACACACATGCTGTTTATGGTTATCTCTATAAAAAAAAATGAAATCCCTTCCACTTCCAGTACTTTGCTAACTTAAGACTTTTTTGAAAACTTTACTAGATTAAGACTTTTTAGCCTAAAGAAAATCTAATCAAAACAGGATAGACAGTAAAGGTCATCAAGATGCTGAAAATATGATTATATGAGGAAGACCTTTTAGTTTCCTTTACTGTGCATCCCATTAGGTTTTATAGAAAAGTAACTCATCGCATTAAATGTAGTGCAGTAGAAAGACAAGATGATTGAGGAGTTTAATTTAAGTTTAAGTTTTAAGTTTAAGGAGTGTAATTTGTTACATTCAACCACTGATGTTTTCTATCCACACTAAGGTGCGTTAAACTACTGTTTCTGTAACGCAGTGTGCAGGACTTTGCATAGCCTCATGTGTGTGTGTGTGTGTGTGTGTGTGTGTGTGTGTGTGTGTGTGTGTGTGTGTGTGTGTGTATGTATGTATGTATGTATTGTGTGTGTGTGTGTGTGTGTGTGTATGAATGTGTATTTGTGTATTTGTGTGTGTGTGTGTGTGTGTGTGTGTGTGTGTGTCCTAGCATGACTATAATTGTGGGGACCTAAATCTGTTTACACAGTCACGTGTGGGGACTCGCCTCACTTATGGGGACAAAATGGAGGTTCCCATGAGGGGAATCATTAATTTTAGGGTGAAGACTTGGTTAGGGTTAGGCATGTGTTGGTTATGGTTAAGGTTAGGATAAGTCTCCAGGAAATGCATGAAAGTCAATGTAATGTCCCCTGAAGTGATGTATGGTGTGTGTGTGTGTGTGTTTACCTGACAGCGTCATCCACAGCTCCCCCCTCAGAGACTCTGGGATCCCCATGGCAACGAGTCTCTGTGTCTTGTCCGTTCGAAACATTGTGACGCCGCGACCGAACTCTGAGAAGTGATCGTCCCACAGACGCTGCTTCACCTCCTCCACGCTCTGAACACACAAACACACACACATATTTAGAAAAGGGATGGACATATGGAAGAGCACATGTTGATGTGGTCGAGGTTTATTTTCTTAATATGAGACTTTTGATTTGTTTTTATTACTGATTTTTGTTCTGTCATGTCACGTGACTTGAATTTTGAATTGCGCCATCCCTTATACTATCTCTTAACGTCTCCCTGCCGACAGGGACACCCCTCCTGGCATGGTCCTTGGAAGATGCGGCGTGTTTTTATTTTTTTCGTGACAGGAACGCGCTTTGCTAGCGGCGAAAATAATCCCACCAGACTCCTTTGCCCCTCCAACAGAGGGATGTCCTTGTCCTTTTCGTTATTTCAAGCTATAAAAACTCGATCTTCTCTCAAATTATTTTATTTTTTTGGACGCCCTCGGCTCGAGTTCAGGGCGTTCCGAGCTGAATAAGAGCGTCAAATTACGGCAAGACCCCCCCCTGGCGGAAACGCTGGTCGCCGGTTCACGTCCCGATCGGACCAAAAAATACGGAGTGTGGACTAGTACTGGAGAGGAGCCAGTTCACCTCCTGGGCCACTGCCGAAGTGCCCTTGAGCAAGGCACCTAACCCCCAACTGCTCACTGGCGCCGGCTAGACTGGCTGCTTCCGCTCTGACCTCTCAACTGCATGTGCATGAGTGCATATAACTGTGTGTATTTGTATATATGTGCATGTTGTAAAAAGTGTGTACTGTGTGTACTGTATGACCTGTATAAAAACACATGTGTGTGTACAACTGAATTTCCCCCTCGGGGGATTAATAAAGGTCCATCTCCATCTTCTTCTATATGTGAGTTTGATTTGAGCTAAATTACTCCTCTCCACCTTGTTGCCGTTGGTTCCCGGTTGGTTTTGGTGGAAGGCCGTCATCAGAGCCTCGCTGTTGACGGTGTTTCTGAGAACCTGCTCTTCGATCTCCTCTTCATCAGACTGCCCCGTGTCGTAGTAGAAAGTGTAATAAGGTGTCGGGGACCTCTGAAAAAATAAATTGTGGAGAAAAACATCATCAGTTTCTCACAGAAAAAAATCCAAATGTCAAAACTGAGCGGTCAAACTAATTTATTTTAACATTAAAAGGTTTAAAAGTTGGTTTTCACGATCAGATGTATTTCATTTCATATTGACGTCATCCAAAATAAAGTCATCAGGTTACATTGATGCTAATATACTTCTCTGGCCCGTAAGTAACCTTTTAATGAAGTTCAAGAAACATCCATTAAACTGGGAAACTGGATAGAAGATACCGGCATACAAGATGGAAAGCAAAATAAAGACTGATGTATTTTTGGTTTGGACTTTAAACTGATTTCTAGTAACTGGTCACTTCTTTTTATTACAATTTTTAGCATTATTTTGTAATCTGCCATATGTCTAATGTTGGGGAATGTCCGGTTGTGTTTGTGTAATGTGATAAATGTAAAAAATCAACAAAAAAGTTAGTCCTCTTAGAACTTGTATTTCACCGAGAACACCTGGTGCTCGTGCTGCTTCCCGTCCTCACAGTCAGGTTGTTATCTCTGCCGCCACACGTACCATGCTCCTCTTGCCGTCCTTCTTGCCTCTGAACATGGCCTGTTTCCACTGCAGAGATCGCAGTCTGGCGTTCAGGTTTTCCACGAGCTCGTCTCGGTCATGCAGGTCGATCAGCTGGAAAGCTTTCTTACTGCGGACGCTCACGATGACGGGGTGAGGCAGCAGGCTGGTGCTCTCCGCTTTCTCTATGGACAACACCTGAGGGAGGGAAACAAGCATAACAAATAAGAATACATTAAAACCAGGAAAACCTACTTTGGATGACTGGATTGACATTGTTTATGATACTTTTAAGATGGAAAGGATTACCCTTGCTTTGAGATTGCAACAGGGAATCTTTTTGTCACGATGGGAAAAATGTATAATATATGTTACACCAATACGACCATCATTTGTCTAGAAGGGACTTTTATTACTATATTAGTTCTATGCCCCCCTTGTTTGAATAAGTTGCAGGTACACCCCCATAACCCTGTTTGTGTTTATGTTCATACTGTATGTTATAGCATGTTTGAAGGTCAGTGAGGCCTCTGTTATCCACAAATACGTATGTTTGATTTGTGATTTCACCGTTAACTACAGGAGGCTTACAGAGAATATTGTATTGACTGTATACATGTGAAAAGCTGAATTCAAAAAGAATTCAAAAATAAGAATATAAATATCTTAATACTTGTGTTTGCAAAGCACTCAGAATTGCTTTTGCAGCGACACAATTCCCATCGAATTACGTCGCTGAAGAGGCTCAGTTTGGTTCTGATACTTGTGACTCGTTCCCAATGATCAGTCCATCTTGAAGATCTTGTTCCATCCAATTTAATAACACAAATAAACAAACAAATAATAACACCATAAGGTCCACTAAAGCTACATGTATCTGAACCAAATCCCCCTCTTTGTCCATCAGCACACAACAGGTCGACTAAATACCTTAAACCACACCCATGTGACAATGCAGGAAGTGACTAATGTAGTGTTAACAATTAATGATAACATTTTAAATAATCAACAATGGCTAAATAGGCATTTTGGCTCCGACAGCCTTGTTGTTGAAATGTGCCAAATACATTCTTATGACAGAACAGATCATATTTAGAGCAGAAAGATAATGTCATGTTTTTAAATCAAATCAAATCAAGTTTTATTTGTAGAGCACATTTAAAAACGATGTTGGTCGAGCCAAAGTGCTGTACATGTAATTTAAACACATAAAAACACATTACATCACAATAAATCACAACAGATAAAAACAACACATGGAACAGTCAGGAGTCGTGCTCCGCTCTAACTAGAAGGCCAGGGAGAAGAAGTGAGTCTTTAGTGAGGATTTAAAAACCCCTAGTGTCTGGGCAGACCTCACATGGAGGGGCAGAGTGTTCCAGAGCCTGGGGCCAGCTGCTGCGAAGGCTCGGTGCCCTCGGGTTTTGAGCCTGGTCTTAGGCACCATCAGCAGCAGCTGGTCAGCCGACCTTAAAGCTCTGGCTGGGGTGTAGCGATGAAGGAGTTCAGCTATATAGGCCGGAGCTCATTTAGGGCTTTAAAAACAAATAAAAGGATATTAAGTGATAACGGAGCTCAGCAGTATTTATTCCTCTACATTTGAAGAAGCTGAACTAGTCCTGTCACAAAGCAAACACCACGTACATGACTCCAGAATTGAACATCCCCCCTCTGCACTGCAACGTGTGAACATTACCAGCCACAGGGAACCAATCCGTGTTACTCTTTAACCAGCAGCAGGCCGAGTAAACACACACTGTTTAACAAGCTGCAGCAATACTTGATGGAAAACACAGAGTGTCTCAGATAAACACTGGAGTTAAGTCTCTCAGGGTCAAAGGACAGACTTGTAACTGTACAAGACCAGGGAACAGTTAAAGTCAATACAGTGGAGGAGATTGGCTAAAAAGAATAAGTGTTTTGTACTTCCAGAAGGAGATTGTGTTGTATCTATCATTAGTTTTCAGCTTCCAGAAACACACACTGTTTAATTCTGCGATCTGGAGGTCATGGGTTTCTACGTTCAGGGTGACTTATCACTCAATACTAATAAAGTCACATGACCAATGTTCTTGGACTTCTGTTTCACACTTCCCGTAGGCCTTTACATTATGACAGAGAAATACAAAAAAGATATGGCTGTATTTACTGTTAATCTGTAAATGTAGCCGTATCATTTCATAAGGGGTCATGGAGCCTGGCCTAGTTTAGACATTTGTTATCTTATGAGGCATTCAAAGACACCACCCTGGGAGTAATCTTAAACATTTAGACTTTTAGGAGAACCACCTGAATGCACCATTAGCTCTTCTGTTGAACTAAGTTAGAAAACATACAATAATGCATCCTTAGAGCCTCGTGGACCACCAAGTGTGGGTCAAGTTGTTCATGTGAGGCTCACTGGTCTTCAGTCCTTTAGAGCTTATGACTTAAAAAAGGTCTGAAACGGCACAAAGCCTACATACTATACTACGTGATATTTTCATTGACGTTGCTACTACTGTAGCTACTGTGCAGAGATGGCAAAAGTACACACATCCTTTACTCAAGTAGAAGTACAGATACTCGTGTTTAAAAATACTTTGGTAAAAGTAGAAGTACTGACTAAACTTCTTTACTCAAGTAAAAGTAAAGAAGTATGGGCTTTGAAATGAAACTTAAGTAAAAAGTACCCATAACTAGCAGCTGCTTTAAAGAGTACCTGACCTCCCTTTATATTAATAGAACAATAATGTCATTGTTAGCTAATGAATGTTTCCATGCTGAACAACGGCAACATGACAACGTTTCCATTGGTCCCTCTTCTTTAGAGAAGACCAGGAAAATGATGGATACACGGATCGTTGTTCAAATCAATAGGCACGCAATGACTCTAAAGAATAATGATCACGCATCAAACACACATTCAGACTAAAGGAACCAGCTGTTTGGAAAATGAGAGAAGTAGAAAGTACAGGTATTTGAGTTCAACATGTAAGAAGTAGAAAGTACAGGTATTTGAGTTCAACATGTAAGAAGTAGAAAGTACAGGTATTTGAGTTCAACATGAGAGAAGTAGAAAGTACAGGTATTTGAGTTCAACATGTAAGAAGTAGAAAGTACAGGTATTTGAGTTAAACATGTGAGAAGTAGAAAGTACAGGTATTTGTGTTCAACATGTAAGAAGTAGAAAGTACAGGTATTTGAGTTCAACATGTAAGAAGTAGAAAGTACAGGTATTTGTGTTCAACATGTAAGAAGTAGAAAGTACAGGTATTTGAGTTCAACATGTAAGAAGTAGAAAGTACAGGTATTTGGGTTCAACATGTAAGAAGTAGAAAGTACAGGTATTTGAGTTCAACATGTAAGAAGTAGAAAGTACAGGTATTTGAGTTCAACATGTAAGAAGTAGAAAGTACAGGTATTTGTGTTCAACATGTAAGAAGTAGAAAGTTCAGGTATTTTGGGTTCAACATGTAAGAAGTAGAAAGTACAGGTATTGAGTTCAAACATGTAAGAAGTAGAAAGTACAGGTATTTGAGTTCAACATGTAAGAAGTAGAAAGTACAGGTATTTGTGTTCAAAATGTAAGAAGTAGAAAGTTCAGGTATTTGTGTTCAAAATGTAAGAAGTAGAAAGTACAGGTATTTGGGTTTAAAATGTAAGAAGTCAAAGTTAAAATTGGTCAGAAAAACAAGTAGTGGAGTAAAGTACTGATACCAGAACAATGTACAAAGTATTTGTACTCCACTGCTTCCCACCTCTGCTACTGTGCATATGACAATAAAGCGTTGAATGTGATGACCCCTCAGTGGTGCTGTGATGCAGGGACGTACCTCTGAGAGGGGGATGAGCAGGGTGCAGCTGCCCTCCTCTCTGCTGGAGAAGCACAGGTAGCAGTCGGTGGTGTAGAGGGTCCCGGCCGTGTGGCAGCGAGCGTGGGGGGTCCACACCGAGCAGGAGGCCACCTCGTGGAGCCTCTCCCCTCGAGGGAGGCGAAACAACGCCAGCACGTACTCCCGTATCGCCTGCTCCTCCAGGATCCTGGGGAAGAAGATGGTGAGGGAGAAAATGTTATGGTTATAGCCAGTGGCGTTTTCTCCCGGAGGCCAAGGGAAGCCAGGCTTCCCCTGTTTTTTCGGATTGTAGTTATAATTTAAATAAATAAATAAAAACACTTTGTTTTGTTTCGATCATTCTCCTTTGCTGTGTGTTGCTGCCGGCCCGTCTCTCCCCCATTCTCATTGAGTATTTTACAAAGAGTGAAACAGCGCCCCTCTAGATGTTATGGTGAAATAGTAGATTGCACTCACTGTTGCGAGAGGAGGCCAGCCGAATCTGGCTTCCCGTGGTGAAAAAAAATGGAGGGATTGACCAATCAGATGAGGCTCACGTGATACCCCTGCCAACCTGTGATTGGTCAGGGCCATGCCAAGGGAAGTCAGAGGCGGCTGGCTTCCCTTGCCTCACAATCCAATCAAATCGCATAGTGCTGCAGTGACGCGTCCTAAAATCCGGAAGTAAGCTGCGCTCGGTTTCCCTCGACAAAAAAGCAATGAGATTTCTCCATAGGATTTAGGAAAATAGCTCGAAATAAGGTCAGTGGAAAACGAACCTGTTGGATAAATGCAAGTTTTGTTCAGTTGGATAATATCCACATGTCTACCCTACTTTTATAATTTTCTAATCATAAATCTAATCGATAGAAGATAGATAGCGCCACTGCATCACTCTCACCGCCGTTAGAAAGTAGCAAGCAACTGAATCAAGTGCAATTATGGAGGGTGGAGATTTGGAGTATTTCATCAAAAATAATTGTACTAAACTTCCGCTACAGCAGCAACAACAAATACAATCTGATGACAGGCCGATGCCCAAACTGGAGCTGTGTACAGAGAGGAAAAAAGGAGTGAATCGGACGTAAAACGTCAAAGGTCTCCTGATTTAGTTTGTGAATGAATGCTTATTAGAGTTTCGGCTGGAGAGTGCGTGCGGACCTGTCGGTTAGATAACAGGCGTGTGTGAGTCCTGCATCTGATACAAATGTGTGTAAAATGATACACCACACCCCCGACCCAAAAGAAAGGACGTATTATTGGCTTCCCCAAAAAAAATTCCCACGCCACGCTACTGGTTATAGCGCTGATCAGTCTTGCACTAATGCACATTTCTCAAAGTTATTGAAGGGACTGTTATTTTGTATATATTGATTGTTGTGCTTTTATTTATGTCTTAATGTGTGCATACGTATAACTGTGTCTGTTGATTGTGTATATATATATATATATATAGGTATATACATATTTTTATATACATTTGTATATTCGGGATTGTGGGAAACGGTATTTCGATCTCTCTGTCTGTACACACAAACTGGAAGATTGACAATAAAGTTGACTTTGACCGACCAATCAGAGGGGAAATAGTGGTGGGTAGCCTGAGCAAAAACAACAAAAACATTTAGAGTTGAATAATGGACAGAGAGAAAAGTTTGGGGAGCAAAGATGTACCAGGAATCAGTTTAAAAAATGTTTTAGGTGATAGAAAATGTACAATGTCCGCGTGAATATTTACTTCATTTCTTGGCTTAAAATTGACTGGTGGACCATGAATGCATTTTTTTTTTTTTAAATCAGCACATCGCTTCATTATTTGATTGTTTTGAATACATTGTTGTTATAATTCACGATCATATCACTTAAAGGTGGGGTAGGTAATTTTGGAGAAACCAGCTCGAGTGCGCTAGAATTTGAAAAAACACAACCGGAAAAAATCTGCCACTTCCTCACAGAGCCCCTCCTCCAACACACACGAACGCGCACATGACCAATGAGGGCACGAGATAAGTTTGTGCCCAGATGGAAGGCTGACAGGCAGGTAGACCATCCAGTTACTTTAGCCGGCTCAGATGATTGGTCGTGCTTTTTACAGATGACATTTTTTTATGGATTTTTTGTCAAAGCACTTCAGATATTCATTGCTATCGGGATGTTAAGAGCATTCCATAGAATATAACAACAAGTGTATCTCGAGCATCAAACTTACCTCCCCCACCTTTAATTATATCTTAATGATTTCCAAAAAGTGATTATGTATTTTCTTAGTGGGTGTTGGAGTTTATTCATAGTGATTACAAAGGAACTGATATATGTTATTCCCGTGTTTTTAGTTGTATGTTTGCCTTTCTCTGTGATTTCCCATTCAGTATCCCATATCACCTGCATGGTCATTTCCTACTTTCTTTTCTTTTTTTACACCATTCTGGACTCTCTGTGGTTTCTCTGTACCTTTTCATTTCTTCTTCCTCTTTTCAGTTTCATTCTCTTGATGCAAGACTAGAGAGACTAGAAAACATATGTCTGTGTTGTGGTTTGCCAGCCACATACATCTCAGGTTACTTTAACTCCACTTCCTGTTTTGGTTTTGAGGTTTTTACATAGACAGGAATAAATAACCCTGAGTATCACAGTGGCGTCTGAGAGCAAAGAGCCATGCTGTTTGTGCATCAAGGCAAATCAAGGGTGTTAAAGTGCTTGATAGGAAACCTAAAAGAGATTAAAGTACATAAAGAAATACTAAAAATACACATCTCATCGGTGTCTTAACTCAGCTATCTGTTAAGACTTATAGAAAGGTCTTGAGTCAAGAGATTAGGTTTCTCCCGCACACTGTCGTTTAAAATGTATTAGTGACGCACCTTTTCTATAAAAAAAGTACAATAGCAAGAATTTTTTCGAGCCTCCGTTGTAAGTAATACTGCACTGACTCCAAATGAGTCAAATCGTTGTCAGTGCTGCAAACAAAAGAGAGAAATCTGTTTAGTTGTATTGGCCAAAGTGAAGTCATAACGGGTGGTTTTTAGTCTGCAACAAAAGATGTATAACCTTTGTTGAAGTGATATCAATGGAGAGCTAATTCCACCATTTAGAGCAGGGGTGGGGAACCTTTTTCCTCTCAAGGGCCATTTCAATTTTTACAACATCCTCCGAGGGCCGTATACACGTTATTGACCTCTGCTTAAAAATACTAAAATCACAGATTCATTTCGCCTTTCTTTCATGCTGTGCAAAGAAAAAACAACCTCTTAATCCAGATATCTTACCATGACTCGGTTGTGGCATGACCACCAAAACAGAAAGATATAGGACACAAGATGTGTGCAAAAGTATTTAGTTTCCTATCCATGTGGACATGATTTAAGTGTGTTTAAACATTTTTTAAAAGTTGAAGCAGATTTATTTTTCTTTATGGATATTTTACAAATCACTCCCCTTTCAAACTGTGTTCTTGTTTATTAATAACAACTTTGTTTTACTGTCATATTAGTATTTTATACCTGTTTACTTTATTCTCTTATTTTTTTATAACTATAATGATCATATAAAGATGTGCCTTTACCTCACTGGTTGGAGAAAAAGCTTCTTATATTCGTTAGCATAGCTAGCTAACCAGATGCTAATAACCAGAGTTGGGTGTAATAATATTACTTTTGTCGGTAACGGAGTAGTGTAACGCGCTACTTTTATAATTCAGTAATCACACTACAGTTACTAACATTAACCCGACACGCGTTACTTCGTTACTTACTAAAATCAGTCATAATCACACTGACAGACAAGAGGGGTTTCCGCCGCAGGTTTATATGGTTTATATGTACGTAATCTGCGCGTCCACATCTCCACGTGCAGTTCTGCATAAACTGGAGGTCTGACCATTACTTTTGAGTTCGTCCGAAGAATAGACAGGAATGTGACGGTGAGGTGCAAACTGTGTCCAGGCCAGAAGCTGTTATCCACTGCTGTAAACACCACGTCAAACCTCAACAAACACCTGCAAAGAACACATGCTAAGGTGAAGCTAACGCACATGCTATTTGTTGTTTGTTTATATCACGCAGTCTGTTCTTCTTCTCTGTCTTCCGGTTGTTGCCTGTTTTGAATTACGAATACACACTACCGCCGCCTGCTGGTAAGGAGAGTTATTGTCACTCACGCATGCGCAGTTCGTACGTGCTCGGCGAGTAAAGTATGTGTAGAGAGTAACGAAGTAGTGTAATATATTACTTTTTTTTAAAGTAATATATTTTTTAAAAATAGTAACGACCCCATCCCTGCTAATAACAACAAAGTTATTGACTGTATGATCAGAATGACAGATGAACAGATCGCCACTGGGCTTTCAACTAAAGACACAGCCACGCAAAAACGGCGGCATGTGTACGGCTCCTTATGGGTACTGCAATTTCTGGAAGTGCTGGAGTGACGTTCTGGTGCTCTCCGTCAGAACTACACCCATGTCAGTCGAGACATATACCACGTGATGACATGTTAGGGTCGTGTTGTGTTCAAGGACCCTGACCTTGGCCAGGAAAAACAGGCACTTGCTTGTTTAATTTTTTTCTTTTTTGCTTGTGTTTAGAAATTACCTCGAGGGCCGTACCAAATTGTCTCGCGGGCCGTATACGGCCCGGGGGCCGGAGGTTCCCCACCCCTGATTTAGAGCCAGGATAGCAATCAGTAGCTAAGCACATTAGCTTGAATTAGGGCAAACCATTTGAATGCTGGTGCAACAGATCAGGGCCGGCCCTGACCAATTTGCTGCCCTAGGCAAGATTTTAACTGGTGCCCCCCCCCCCCCAAAATGCAGACACTCACTATGACTTGCGCATGCATGCACGTGCACGGTTGTGGCATGACCACCAAAACAGGAAGATATGGACACAAGATGTGTGCAAATGTATTTAGTTTCCTATCCATGTGAACATGATTTAAGTGGGGGTGGACCTAACCTACTCTAGGGGGGTCCGAGGGCATGCTCCCCCGGGAAGATTATTTTTTAAATATTGAAGTGAAAAGCATCAATCTGGTGCACTTTGAGAGCAACATGAAGAGATCTATGGATACATCTCTCAACACCATATGAAACAGAACTGTAAACAGATTTACTTTTTCTTTATGGATATTTTACAAATCACTCCCCTTTTAAACTGTATTCTTTCTTATTAATAACAACTTCTTTTTGCTGTCATATAGTATTTTATACCTGTTTTTCATCTATTCTCTTATTTTTTTTATATTTTATAACTATAATGATTATATAAAGGTGTGCCTTTATCTCACTGAGGTTATCAGAGCCTCTCAGTCTTTCAGGAGAGAGCTCTCTAAAGCTCTCCCCCCCCCCCCCCCCCCCCCCCCCCCGGCCGCTTACACAGTAAATTCCAATGTTAATAAAAGCTGTATACGTTTTTTGGGGGTTTGATTTATTTTAAATTAACACTAATACAAAATTAAAACCTATAATTGCACACTAAAACCATTATTTCAAAAAAAGAACTAAAAAAAACCTCTGGTTTTTACTGGGGCAGTTCAACTTGATTTTTTTTGGGGGGGGGGGGGGGGGTTGCGCCATAGTTCATGGGCGGCGTACGAAGAAAAAAATTGTTGGCGCCCCCGATGGGTTAATGCGCCCTTAGCGTTCGCCTATACTGCCTATGCCGAGGGCCAGCCCTGCAACAGATCTTATTTCCTGCAATATTCCGAAATCCAATGCTTTTAGACAAGGGAGCCCTTGCGATGCTAACCTCCAGCTCCACCTGCAAAAATACGTCACCCCTGCATCGCTCCGTTCATTTTCAAATGAGGTGTATGTGAGTGTGATAAAGCAGAGCTCTCTGACCTCTTGGTGATGCGTGCCGGCTGCTGCAGCACTCGGTCCAGCTCCAGGCCTTCGCTGTCCAGCAGCCGCCTGAGGGCGATGTCCGCCAGCTGACCTATGACCCCGAACGCCTCGTCCAGGTTCAGGAACATGGAGAACTCCCTCTGTCTCTTCCGGGTGTTGATCCGGATGGCCTCCGTCATCAGACCGCTGGAGACCCGCTCCAACCGCGTCACCTCCGCCCAGGGGATCATAAACTTCACTGAGGGACAATAAACATTGAAAGACCAATTTAAAGATGGTGTCGCTAAGAAAAAGCTCATCTAAAAAGATAAGATAAGATAAGAAGTACTTGTTTGATCCCAATTTGGGGAATGTTTGCGTTGCAGCAGCATAAAAAGACACGGCATTGAGCAAAAAAAATTCAAAGAAATAAACATTCCATAATTCAAACATCTCAATAGAAATAAAATAGCATTAAAAAAAGTTATAGTAACAAAATATAAAGCAGGATATTAAATATACATAAGTAGTACTTTCCAGTAATTCCAGCGCCTTCATGTTTTTCATTTTTTGTAAAGCACTATGAATTGCCTTGTGTTGAAAAGTGCTATATAAATAAACTTGCCTTGCCTTGCCTTGCCTTGCCTTGCCTAAGTATGTGAGGAATGGAATATTAAATTGGGTATAAATGTAAAATGTTCACTGTGATTTTAAGTCCAGTTGTCCAAGAAGCTATGGAGCAGATCCTTCTCTGCCAGCCAGAGGTGTGTTCACACTTTCTCATGTGTAGTCCCAAAATACGTGAGAATAATGATTTGTAAAAATTAATAATTGTGTGTAATTCAGTCTTTTGATTAATATCCTAGCCCTGTCTTTAGTGTACGGACCTTCCTTCCCCAGCAAGAAGGCGTAGAAGGCCAGGTGGTTGATGCTGAGCTACTTCATTATTTGATTGTTTTGAATATATTGTTGTTATTAATTCATCTTCATTTAACTTAACTATATCTTTAGGATTTCAATAAAGTGAAAGAAGTGTTTTTAGTTCAGTTGGCCTTTCTCTGTTACTTTCACATTCAGTATCCCATATCACCTGCATGGTAATTTCCTACTTTTTTTACAACATTCTGGACTCTTTGTGGTTTCTGTGAACCCTTTCATTTCTTCTTTAAAAAAAAAGAAGATTATTGTGTGTAATTCAGTCTTTTGGTTAAAGGTCAGCTATTATGCAAAATCCTCTTCTTCATGTCTCTTCTACATCAACATGTGTCCCCTCTTCTTCATGTCTCTTCTACATCAACATGTGTCCCCTCTTCTCCATGTCTCTTCTACATCAACATGTGTCCCCTCTTCTTCATGTCTCTTCTACATCAACATGTGTCCCCTCTTCTTCATGTCTCTTCTACATCAACATGTGTCCCCTCTTCTTCATGTCTCTTCTACATCAACATGTGTCCCCTCTTCTTCAGTGTCTCTTCTACATCAACATGTGTCCCCTCTTCTCCATGTCTCTTCTACATCAACATGTGTCCCCTCTTCTTCATGTCTCTTCTACATCAACATGTGTCCCCTCTTCTCCATGTCTCTTCTACATCAACATGTGTCCCCTCTTCTTCATGTCTCTTCTACATCAACATGTGTCCCCTCTTCTTCATGTCTCTTCTACATCAACATGTGTCCCCTCTTCTTCATGTCTCTTCTACCTCAACATGTGTCCCCTCTTCTTCATGTCTCTTCTACATCACATGTGTCCCCTCTTCTTCATGTCTCTTCTACATCAACATGTGTCCCCTCTTCTTCATGTCTCTTCTACATCAACATGTGTCCCCTCTTCTTCATGTCTCTTCTACATCAACATGTGTCCCCTCTTCTTCATGTCTCTTCTACATCAACATTGTCCCTCTTCTTCATGTCCCTCTACATCAACGTGTGTCCCCTCTTCTTCATGTCTCTTCTACATCAACATGTGTCCCCTCTTCTCCATGTCTCTTCTACATCAACATGTGTCCCCTCTTCTTCATGTCTCTTCTACATCAACATGTGTCCCCTCTTCTTCATGTCTCTTCTTCATCAACATGTGTCCCCTCTTCTTCATGTCTCGTCTACATCAACATGTGTCCCCTCTTCTTTCATGTCTCTTCTACATCAACATGTGTCCCCTCTTCTTCATGTCTCTTCTACATCAACATGTGTCCCCTCTTCTTCATGTCTCTTCTTCATCAACATGTGTCCTCTCTTCTTCATGTCTCTTCTTCATCAACATGTGTCCCCTCTTCTCCATGTCTCTTCTACATCAACATGTGTCCCCTCTTCTTCATGTCTCTTCTACATCAACATGTGTCCCCTCTTCTTCATGTCTCTTCTAGATCAACATATGTCCCCTCTGTGGAAAGAGACTCTGAAAGTTTCAGGAACAAAGATTCTCTCTCTTTTTGATCCATTTCTATAAAAACCTGTCTGAAAATGAGCTGATCAGATTTTGGCCACTTTATGATGTCATAACGATGTTTTGTCTTGAGTAACCATTAGCCAATCAGCAACCAAGTTAACCCCCCCCCCCCACCTTATCACCTGAATCTCCTCCTAGAGCACCATTGAGTTCTTTGTAACCAAATGTCTCTCAGAGGGGCGTGGGGAGGGGCTCCTTATTTTCATCTAAAGTAACAGACAGAGAATCAGCACTTTGGAAACAGGGCTGAAACAGAGGGGATTATGGGTAATGCTGCAATGATCTGTTTGGTGTTTCAGCCAATCAGATACAGGTCTGTATATATCTGAGACCTGTGATATATTGATGACAAACAGTATCATAGGGGACCTTTAAGTCAGAGCCCTGTCTTTGGTGTACAGACCTTCCTTCCCCAGCAGGAAGGCGTAGAAGGCCAGGTGGTTGATGCTGAGGTAGAGGAAGCCCTGCCGCGGCACCCTGCCCTTCCAGCAGCAGCACGAGTAATACGTCACCAGCTTCTCCGACGAAGGGAGGCCAAAGTGCAGCTCGAACTTCCTCAGCAGCTCCCTGAACTTCTCGGGGTCTTCCTCCTGAGCCGCCTGGCGCCCCCGGACCTCCTCAGCGATAAGACCCTGCAGCGGAAAAAACATGGATCACTGATAAAGGGTTTCTTCATCATTCAAAGATTCAAAGGTTTTATTGTCATGTGCACAGAGCTACAGTGTAGACATGGCAATGGAGTTCTTCTGACCTGAGCTCCTCCAACAATGCAACATATATAATCAAATACAAAAAGTAAACAAACACTGAAATAAAGCGAAAAAAAGGCAGAGTTGGAGAAGAGCAAAAGACACAATAAGTGCAATCAACAAAACGTTGCCTGTTTGGGTTTTAAGATGTTTGTTGGATCAAAGTAGAACATCTGCCTCATTGTTTAGGATAATAGGGACACACATTTTAAAGAGCAACTATGATGCTTTTTGGGGTTCTCCCTTTCCTGTAGTGTGTCATATAGGTTTTAGTGCATGTAAATGGTCTGCAAAGACTCAAATCCCTGTGTTCCTCCAGAGGGAGTTTCTCTCTGCATGAAACGCCTCCATTGTTTACTTCCTGAACATAGTGACATCACTTTGTATCATCACTGGCACTTCTATTAGCTAGTGCTCCAACACAATAGGCGCTTTCACACCGGAGTACTTTTTCCACTTTAGTTCCGAAAAAGTGCGTTCACACCAAAAAGAGCCAGAACTAAAATGTGTTCATCAGAACCTTTTCCGTCCCTGCTAGAGAGCAGGGACTTTCTGGGAGAAAAAGGTTCTCATTTCTGATTGGCTGGGCGGATTGCAAACCACGCCCCGTAAAACTCCCAAAAGGTTTTGTGAAGCCGCCATTTTATTTTCCTTGCTTTAGCATTATTAGCATTAGCATTAGCCCAGCGCAGAAACGCAGTGGTTTGCGGCCTGCCAGTAAACCCAAAGCAGAAGAAGAAGAAGTGACGTCAGCGGCTTCATTTTCCTAATCCTCCCTCAGGGACTTATTCCGGTGTGAACGCGATCTGTACTTAGTTCATGAGTACGGCAAAGTACTTGGTGTGAAAGCGCCTATTGTAAGTGATAGGCTAAGGCACGGGACATCTCTAAGCGGTTGACCAATCACAACAGAGCCGGCCAGCTAACCAATCAGAGCAGACTGGGCTCTGGTTTCAGACAGAGGGTGAAAAGAGGTGCTGCAGCAGTATGAGAAAAATAAAGAGCTTTTTGAACATTAAAGCATGGAGACATGAAGAGACACAACATACTGATATACACCTGAACATCAGCAGGAGAGGACTCTTTAAAGTAGAGACACTACATACTGATATACACCTGAACATCAGCAGGAGAGGACTCTTTAAAGTAGAGACACTACATACTGATTATACACCTGAACATCAGCAGGAGAGGACTCTTTAAAGTAGAGGACACTACATACTGATATACACCTGAACATCAGCAGGAGAGGAACTCTTTAAAGTAGAGACACTACATACTGATATACACCTGAACATCAGCAGGAGAGGACTCTTTAAAGTAGAGACACTACATACTGATATACACCTGAACATCAGCAGGAGAGGACTCTTTAAAGTAGAGACACTACATACTGATATACACCTGAACATCAGCAGGAGAGGACTCTTTAAAGTAGAGACACTACATACTGATATACACCTGAACATCAGCAGGAGAGGACTCTTTAAAGTAGAGACACTACATACTGATATACACCTGAACATCAGCAGGAGAGGACTCTTTAAAGTAGAGACACTACATACTGATATACACCTGACATCAGCAGGAGAGGACTCTTTAAAGTAGAGACACTACATACTGATATACACCTGCACATCAGCAGGAGAGGACTCTTTAAAGTAGAGACACTACATACTGATATACACCTGAACATCAGCAGGAGAGACTCTTTAAAGTAGAGACACTACATACTGATATACACCTGAACATCAGCAGGAGAGGACTCTTTAAAGTAGAGACACTACATACTGATATACACCTGAACATCAGCAGGAGAGGACTCTTTAAAGTAGAGACACTACATACTGATATACACCTGAACATCAGCAGGAGAGGACTCTTTAAAGTAGAGACACTACATACTGATATACACCTGAACATCAGCAGGAGAGGACTCTTTAAAGTAGAGACACTACATACTGATATACACCTGAACATCAGCAGGAGAGGACTCTTTAAAGTAGAGACACTACATACTGATATACACCTGAACATCAGCAGGAGAGGACTCTTTAAAGTAGAGACACTACATACTGATATACACCTGAACATCAGCAGGAGAGGACTCTTTAAAGTAGAGACACTACATACTGATATACACCTGAACATCAGCAGGAGAGGACTCTTTAAAGTAGAGACACTACATACTGATATACACCTGAACATCAGCAGGAGAGGACTCTTTAAAGTAGAGACACTACATACTGATATACACCTGAACATCAGCAGGAGAGGACTCTTTAAAGTAGAGACACTGCATACTGATATACACCTGAACATCAGCAGGAGAGGACTCTTTAAAGTAGAGACACTACATACTGATATACACCTGAACATCAGCAGGAGAGGACTCTTTAAAGTAGAGACACTACATACTGATATACACCTGAACATCAGCAGGAGAGGACTCTTTAAAGTAGAGACACTACATACTGATATACACCTGCACATCAGCAGGAGAGGACTCTTTAAAGTAGAGACACTACATACTGATATACACCTGAACATCAGCAGGAGAGGAACTCTTTAAAGTAGAGACACTACATACTGATATACACCCTGAACATCAGCAGGAGAGGACTCTTTAAAGTAGAGACACTACATACTGATATACACCTGAACATCAGCAGGAGAGGACTCTTTAAAGTAGAGACACTACATACTGATATACACCTTAACATCAGCAGGAGAGGACTCTTTAAAGTAGAGACACTGCATACTGATATACACCTGAACATCAGCAGGAGAGGACTCTTTAAAGTAGAGACACTACATACTGATATGAATTCTGAAATGAGCAGAATATCTCCTGGCACTGGTTGGTTTCACACCTTGACTTTTCCTCTGACGAAGCTGGCCCCATCCTCCTTGTTCTCGAACACAGACAGAGAGTGCAGCAGGTTGTGGATCAACCAGTCCCAGTGCTTATTCACCTCCCCTATAGCGGCTCCTGGGAGAGAAACAGATCAAAAAAGGAAAGGATATAACAGCTGTGAGTCATCTAATGACGCAACTGAGGGCAAAGAAAAACAAAGAAATCAAACAAGATATCATTATATGAGACTGTACTGTATGTCGTCTTAGATTTTGGATCACACACCAAAAAGGTGTTGTCATTTCCTGGATTTAAATGCTGCATTATAGATCAAATATGTACCATACAGTATTGTTATAACTGTTCTATTATTTGCCTTAACCAACCTGTCATTATTGAAACACATTACTGATGATTCATAACCAAGTATCTATTGTGTTGACCTACATTTAACAAAAGCATCACAAGTCCATTCTATCATTTTAAAAGCTTGTTGCCATTTGCACAACAGCTACAGCTTAGTTTTGGCAATGAAAATCCTTAGCCCAACAAGACAACATACAATATGCGTAAGACAAAAATTAAAATTGTGCAAATAAAATGCATTTTTAAAAAAATACAATATGGTAACGTTAAATAAAAAATGAAATACTGTACGGTGGATTTATTTAAAAAGAATATTAGAATTTGGGTTTTTGTTGGAAAATATTCTAATATTAGATTTATTTTTTTATATCACCCAGCCTGAGTTTCTCACCGCTGGCGATGACCCAGCTGACCTGGGACCCGGGGACCTGCAGCAGGATGCGGAAAGGAGTGACTCTGGCGTTAGAGTCCAGCACCGAGTCCAGCGCCCCCACCAGGAGACCTGCGGAGAGACAACAGGACGCAGAGACAATACATGAGAGACAAAACAACAAAACCTGCAGTGAGAGGTTCAATCTGTGTGGTGGAAATAAAGCAGAAATAAGGGGGATATCTCGCATGTAAACAGATTTGTAGTGATGTTAAAAAGATCTCTATCTGTGTTTTACTTTTATGTATGCACCACGACACTAAGTCAACTTCCCCGTACGTGTCAACCTACCTGGTAATAAACCGGTTTCTGAATCCATTCCTACAGCCCGCATTTTGTGGAACTAACTTCAAGCTGATTTGAATATAAATCTCACGTTACAATGATATCAATTTGGTGCTGGTACTATAACAACATTTATCTAACATATGAATCCAACTCAAACAAACCACATTGAAAGTACTATTACATACAGTCAATCTAAACGGAGAGAGAAGTGAGGAGTTCATTCACAGGCAGCAATATTTCACAGCTGGATGACAGAAATACACCGACGGGTGTAAAATATGCAGAGAGGCTCAGAGTGGAGGCACAAGAAAACAAACAAGACATTATTTTAATCTGCCATTTTTATGTTGCGTATTTGGCAACAAGTACTTTTTTTATTTTACAGAGGCCCCCTACATGCCTAAAGGTGGGGGGGGTTGGAAAGTAATAATTGTAGGGATTATTTTACAACCCTTAGGAGTCAATGCACTTCAGAAACACATTTAGAAGCTGTGTTTCCCTTCTTTCTACACAGCTCTTTTTAGCCCAGCTTTCTCAGCCAGATCAGCCCCACCTGCATCTACCACCCTGCATTTCAAACAGTTAAAAGTTAGGACTGAAAACACAAAGGAGGTGTGAGACGTGGAGAGAAGAGGGAGAGGGATCAGTATCAGTTTTCCTGCATAATGGCGGACTAGTTCATGATTTAACTGAAAAGCGTCAGGTATGTCCGCCTATAAAAACCTGCAGTGAAACTGTCAAGAAGAAGCTGAAAGTCTGCTATCAGAATGGGATTATGTCATAGTCTTGTGAGAGTCAAAAAGAGGCTTTTCCACCTTTGGAAAGTACGCTTTTAGTTCCTTTTACAATCATTCAACTCAGGTTGTATTACACACTGAACATTAGCATAACATAGCATCTGTCATCAGCTTTAATCCAGAAGAATACCAGCCGTTGTTAGTGGAGGCAGGTGGAGATTTGTAGAGATAACGCGTCTGGCACTCAGCCAAATGTAAAGCATATCTCAGAGTCAAAGTCGAGCTGCATGGAGCTTTGAGGCCGGCCGCCCGGCAACACAAAACACTCCGTCTGACAACACAAAGCCTGCAGGGGTTACAGGGGAAACTTTCCAGAGAGAGGAGTCACCGCCTTTCTCTGCTAATGAATACTGCTGAGGAGACATAGAGGCTCCAGCTAGCGACAAAAAGCAAAACAGAGACCTGCTCTCGCATATACAACACTGTAATGTCTGTTTGCTCTTGAATGCATCACGGTTAATCATCAGTTTGTCTCTGTCTTGTGCTGCTTTTAGGTCAACGAAATAAATTAAGGACAACGGGTTAAATACAAATGAGCATAATAAGCCCCCTTTAATATTCCTATATTTAAAAAGCTTTTTCAAGAGTCCTCTCCTGCTGATGTTCAGGTGTATATCAGTATGTAGTGTCTCTACTTTAAAGAGTCCTCTCCTGCTGATGTTCAGGTTTATATCAGTATGTAGTGTCTCTACTTTAAAGAGTCCTCTCCTGCTGATGTTCAGGTGTATATCAGTATGTAGTGTCTCTTCTTTAAAGAGTCCTCTCCTGCTGATGTTCAGGTTTATATCAGTATGTAGTGTCTCTACTTTAAAGAGTCCTCTCCTGCTGATGTTCAGGTGTATATCAGTATGTAGTGTCTCTACTTTAAAGAGTCCTCTCCTGCTGATGTTCAGGTTTATATCAGTATGTAGTGTCTCTACTTTAAAGAGTCCTCTCCTGCTGATGTTCAGGTGTATATCAGTATGTAGTGTCTCTACTTTAAAGAGTCCACTCCTGCTGATGTTCAGGTGTATATCAGTATGTAGTGTCTCTACTTTAAAGAGTCCTCTCCTGCTGATGTTCAGGTGTATATCAGTATGTAGTATCTCTGCTTTAAAGAGTCCTCTCCTGCTGATGTTCAGGTGTATATCAGTATGTCGTGTCTCTACTTTAAAGAGTCCTCTCCTGCTGATGTCCAGGTGTATATCAGTATGTAGTGTCTCTACTTTAAAGAGTCCTCTCCTGCTGATGTTCAGGTTTATATCAGTATGTAGTGTCTCTACTTTAAAGAGTCCTCTCCTGCTGATGTTCAGGTTTATATCAGTATGTAGTGTCTCTACTTTAAAGAGTCCTCTCCTGCTGATGTTCAGGTGTATATCAGTATGTAGTATCTCTGCTTTAAAGAGTCCTCTCCTGCTGATGTTCAGGTGTATATCAGTATGTCGTGTCTCTACTTTAAAGAGTCCTCTCCTGCTGATGTCCAGGTGTATATCAGTATGTAGTGTCTCTACTTTAAAGAGTCCTCTCCTGCTGATGTTCAGGTGTATATCAGTATGGAGTGTCTCTACTTTAAAGAGTCCTCTCCTGCCGATGTTCAGGTGTATATCAGTATGTAGTGTCTCTACTTTAAAGAGTCCTCTCCTGCTGATGTTCAGGTGTATATCAGTATGTAGTGTCTCTCCTTTAAAGAGTCCTCTCCTGCTGATGTTTCAGGTGTATATCAGTATGTAGTGTCTTCTACTTTAAAGAGTCCTCTCCCTGCTGATGTTCAGGTGTATATCAGTATGTAGTGTCTCTCCTTTAAAGAGTCCTCTCCTGCTGATGTTCAGGTGTATATCAGTATGTAGTGTCTCTACTTTAAAGAGGTCCTCTCCTGCTGATGTTCAGGTGTATATCAGTATGTAGTGTCTCTACTTAAGAGGTCCTCTCCTGCTGATGTTCAGGTGTATATCAGTATGTAGTGTCTCTCCTTTAAAGAGTCTCCTCTCCTTTGCTGACTTGTTTCAGGTGCTATCCATCAGTATGTAGTGGTCCTCTCCTTTTAAAGGAGTCCTCTCCTGCTGATGTTCAGGTTGTATATAGTATAGTAGTGTCTCTACTTTAAAAGGAGTCCTCTCCTGCTGATGTTCACAGGTGTATATTCAGTATGTAGTGGTCTCTACTTTACAGAGTCCCTCTCCTGCGGATGTCCAGGTTGTTATATCAGTATTTAGTGTCTCTACTTTAAAGGAGTCCTCCCTGCTGATGTGTTCAGGGTATATCAGTATGTAGTGTCTCTCTACTTTAAAGAAGTCCTCTCCTGCTGATGTTCAGGGGTATATATCAGTATGTAGTGTCCTCTACTTTAAAAGAGTCCCTCTCCTGCTGATTTTCAGGTGTATATCAGTACTGTAGTGTCTCTACTTTAAAGAGTCCTCTTCCGTGATGTTCAGGTGTATATCAGTATGTAGTGTCTCTACTTTAAAGAGTGCCTCTCATGCTGATGTTCAGGTGTATATCAGTATGTAGTGTCTCTACTTTAAAGAGTCCTCTCCTGCTGATGTTCAGGTGTATATCAGTATGTAGTGTCTCTCTTTAAAGAGTTCCTCCTGCTGATGTTCAGGTGTATATCAGTATGTAGTGTCTCTCCTTTAAAGAGTCCTCTCCTGCTGATGTTCAGGTGTATATATCATATGTAGTGTCTCTACTTTAAAGAGTCCTCTCCTGCGATGTTCAGGTGTATATCAGTATGTAGTGTCTCTACTTTAAAGAGTCCTCTCCTGCTGATGTTCAGGTGTGTATCAGTATGTAGTGTCTCTCCTTTAAAGAGTCCTCTCCTGCTGATGTTCAGGTGTATATCAGTATGTAGTGTCTCTCCTTTAAAGAGTCCTCTCCTGCTGATGTTCAGGTGTGTATCAGTATGTAGTGTCTCTACTTTAAAGAGTCCTCTCCTGCTGATGTTCAGGTGTATATCAGTATGTAGTCTCTACTTTAAAGAGTCTCTCCTGCTGATGTTCGGTGTTGTATCAGTATGTAGTGTCTCTACTTTAAAGAGTCCTCTCCTGCTGATGTTCAGGTGTATATCAGTATGTAGTGTCTCTACTTTAAAGAGTCCTCTCCTGCTGATGTTCAGGTGTATATCAGTATGTAGTGTCTCTACTGGGACATGTCTCCATGCTTTAATGTTCAACAGCTCTTTATTTTTCTCATACTGCCTGTGCTGCAGCACCTCTTTTCACCCTCTGTCTGAAACCAGAGCCCAGTCTGCTCTGATTGGTTAGCTGGCCGGCTCTGTTGTGATTGGTCAACCGCTTAGAGATGTCCCGCCCCCTTAGCCTATCACCTACAATATGTTGGAGCGCTAGCCAATAGAAGCACAAGTGTTACATAGTGATGTCACTATGTTAGGAAAGTAAACAAAGGAGTCCAATGGAGGCGGAGAGATGTTAGCCTTTGCAGACCATTAACATGCACTAAAACCTATATTACACACTACAGGAAAGGGGAAAACCCAAAAAGCACAATAGGGCCTCTTGGAGAGATAGGTATTTGCTTGGGTGTGGTATGAAGAACTTATCAGCTGCAGATGTTTAGTTGCCCTGCCCTTCCCAGAAATCCTGCTTTAAGTATGTCATCACCGCTGGTTTCACACTGTCTTATAGTTCCTGCTTTAATCATTAAACACCTTTTTTAAAGTTAGATCTGAGTGATCACACAAACTCTGCTCTGCGTTTTCTTTCCTCCTCTTGTGTGACAGGAATGCCGGAGAGGAGCTGGTTTAATTAGTTAATGTTGAACGACGTGACAACAGGACTTGACCTTTCACCTGCTCTCGCCATGGGAACACAAACACAAAGTAAACCCCGGACAGGAAGTTCCTACTATTCTGTTTTATTAGAAGAGCAACCGCTTGGTTTCCCCCACAGGGAAGAAGAGGGAGAATGAAGAGGGCTGAGTGTGAGCTGCTCGTCTGGTTTAATGATATGAAGTGTCCCTCATCGTGTAAATCTACTGTACGACAATGTGTCAGTGAAGTAAAGAGAAACACAGAGAGGAAGCGAGACAGAGGAAGCAGCAAACAGTGCATCGGGGAAGCTCGCTGGGAAACAGAAAGACGGCTACAGCTGCACCAGCACGTGGTCAACAGTGTGTACAGTTATCACTCAGTAAAGAATGAGAGTATGAATTACACAGGGGGGGGGAATATTCGTTTGGGAATATTTAAATAAAACATACTTTTACTCGAGTATTTCCAATTATATATATATTATGTGTCTATACATGTATTTAACATGTTTAGGTACTTTTCTATACTTTTAACAAAATGCATCCAAGAGGAGTGATTGTTAAAAGTACATTAAAGTAATATAATCATAAATAAGTCAATAATTGTTTGAGAGAGAACTTCGTCTGCAGACTTAACTTACCAAAATGAAGGTATAAAGTGAATTCAGATGGTTGGTGATGTTTTCAATGCTGCAAGTAAGGGCTGCAACTACTTTACATTATCGGTTCATCTGCCCATAAAATGTCAGAATATAGCAAAAAATAATGCATCCCAGTCTTTTAAGTCTTGTTTGTCTAGTGTCAGCCAAAAAACGCCAAACATATTAAGCAGGAAATCTCCACGTTCGAGCCTAAAAAGATCATTTTATGCCATTACAAGTCAATCATTAATCATGTTTTATCTGTCAATGGACCATCAAATGTAATAGTTGCTGCAGCTTTGACTCGTTAACCCTGCTTTCCTTTAACATTGCACACTGCAAGGTGTGGTAGCCCCCAACCCCCCCACTCTATTTCTAATGTTGGCTTTGAGGCCTGTGCAGTAGCGTAGGCAGAAATGTACTTTAGGGTGGGCCTGTAAAAAATAGGGTGGGTCAGATTTTTCTTCTGCGGATCAGAAGCTAACAACAATCCCCGCCGGTACTGGTGGCAGATTACTTTTGGAATACTTTCTTTTTCCATAACAGATGGGTATGTTTTGGTGAACAGGAGACACGTATTTTACTGTTTTAATGGCTTATCAAGAACTCAAACACAACATCTTGGTGTCATTCTGGACAGCTCTCTCATCTGCACCACACGTAAAAACATCACCCGGACTGCATTCTTTGTACTGCCTTAAAAACTTTCCTTAGAATATGTTATGAATTGTAAGGTGTCCTTGGGTGCTTTGAAAGGCGCCCCTAAATAGAATGAATTATCATTATTATTATTATCTGAAATGATGTAATAACTTTTCAAACTGTTTCCAGTCACTTGCCCCATGCCTTCAGCAGCAGCAGGCCATTCACTTTGATTTCATCCCGTTATAAATGTCATCATTTCGACAATAAAGAAATGCTACATAAACGTTATCTTGCACATTTTATCTAACCATCTCCGTTTCTAACTTTCAATATATTTTAAAAGAGATCTCTCTCAGCTGCGTGCGGGGGCGGGGCCTCACAGACACGCTGCAGCTCTCTCGCTCAGACATGCTGCAGCGCTGTGCAGTTCTGCCGGTAATGAATATTACATTTTGTGAGGAAACAATAAGTATTCCAAAATGTATTCACTTCAGGTTTACGAAAGTAACTGTAATCAGATTACTCGTTTTTCAAATGTAACGCCAGCTGAATACACTTGATTTTTGTATTCTGATTACGTAACGCCGTTACATGTATTCCGTTACAAGCCAACCCTGTGTATATCTCTCCGGACTGTCCACCAGCAGATGAAAAACACCCACCTCTCCGCCTCTTCCAAGGGACGAGGGAACCGTGCGGCAGAGTTTCCGTTAACATTTGTGTTCTTCTGACAGCCCAGCAGCAGGAGAGGTGGGCGAGAGGGAGGCGTGGGGAGAGGGAGGCGGGGCTATTTCATCGTTATCAGAAAATGATCGTTTAGATCGCTGCTAGATGAGGGCAGTGGGGGCTCTTCTTGGAGTCTGGCTTTTTAAAAAAAACCAAAGTTCATTAGTGAACTTTGAGCCATCATTTATTTTGCAGGCAGCTCTCTGCCTCTCTCACGTTATTATGGTGCGCGCCGGAACCAACAATCAGTTTTACCGTAAATGAGTTCGGTTCAGAGGACAAAGCACAACATTAATTCAACTCGATATTTGTTCACTTGAATTTCACTTTGAATGCTTGGATATTCTCAATGGGTGAATACATTTTTTTATAATAATAATTAAATAATTAAAAAAAAATTAAAATTAAAGTTTTTTTTTTTAATTACACCAAAGCTTTCTCAGGGTGGGCCAATGAGTAAACTGAGTGGGCCTGGGTCCACCCTGGCCCTATGGTAGCTACGCCACTGGGCCTGTGTGAAACATCTTTATAGGAAGTGAGAAAGTCTGGATTTGACACAAAGGACTGTTGCAAGCTTTTTTAAAGAAATGGTCGCAGTATTTTAACTACAGTTGGAGCGTAACAACTTGCTCAACTGTTTAAGTAAAGTGTCCATAGGCTACAGTTATACAGTTGGTTTCAAGGCATCAGTTGCCATAGTAACACACACACAGGCTGTGGTCATTCCGGGGCTTTCCCATGAAACCAACTGATCCAAAATTCCCAGAATGTATGTTAACTTTTTAATCCTTCTCTCCGTTTCAACCCCTTTTGATTTTGCCTGCTGCCTCTTTCCTGTTGTTCCTATTCTTGTTGTTTTCCTGACAGCTGGGTTTCTCTGGCTTCTCCATTGTTGTCCTAGTTCACCGGTTTGCGTGTAATCAGAGGTGGGAGAAGTACTCCGATCTTGTACTTTAGTAAAAGTAGAAGTACCAGAGTGTAGGAATACTCTGTTACAGTAAAAGTCCTGCATTCAAAATGTTACTCAAGTAAAAGTATTAAAAAGTATTAGCATCAAAATCTACTTAAAATTACAAAAAGTAGTAGTAGTTGTTCTGTAGATTGGTCCATTTCAGAATAATATATATGATATGTTTTATAATGATTGATCATTAAAGTGTTCTCAAAGCTGGTAAAGGAGCAGCTAGTTTGAATGACTTTGTATACTGCAGGGTAGCTTGTGGATTTACTCCAGGTGGAACTAAAGTCTGATTCAACACTTGATTATATTTCACATCATTCATCCATATCTGCAAAGTAACTAAAGGTATATTTAGTGGAGTAAAAGTACAAGATTTTCACCTGAAATGTAGTGGAGTAGAAGTACAAAATAGCAAAATATGGAAATACTTTAGTAAGGTAAAATTCTCTCAAATGTTTAAGTATCTATTTTTTTGTTTTTGTACCTGTGATCCTCCCTTGTGTGTGTTGTTGTTGTTGTTTACCTGTGATCCTGCCTGTGGGCTCTCCATGTCCTCTCCTCCTCTGCAGGAGGAAGAAGTCGTTGCTCCTGACGGTCACCCAGAGCTTCAGAGCGTTTTTCAGCAGAACTTCCTCCGGGTTTAGCCACATTTCTTCCCGCAGGGAGGGACCGGAGGAGGGAGCCCCCCCACCGTGTTTACAGCGCCGGTGAGTTGACTCTTGTTCCCCGGATATGGAGCGTCCTGCTCGGCCCTACAGAGGCGGGTTCTCGGGGTTCTCCATGGTTCTCCTGCGGACAGCTGCAGGCTTCAGTCCGCCTCTCGTCTGCTATGCTGCCTCACGCCCGATCTGCAACAGCTGTCCACACCACAGTCAGAGATCCTCTAATGGAGAGAGGACCCACTCTGGATTGGAGAAGTAGTTTATAAATATTGACTCATTTATTAACATATAATGTTCTTTTTCATTTTTTTAAGCAGATGTGTGTATCTGTAGTTACTAGTTAGCGTAAAGAAGTGGAATTATGTGCCGAATGATTTAAAGGCCTGTAAGATAATGTGTATGTTTACGAAAATGTATAAAGAAAGCGCAATTAGACAGTATGAAGTTGACTTCTGATTGTGTTCTGGTTTTATGTTTCAGTATTTGTAAGCAACTGTGACTGAAAGAATATTGCTTTTATTTTACTTTGTTATGGTTATTATTCTGTTTTGGGGCAGGTAGAATACGATTGTCTTTTCCCTGCTCCTTTCCACCACGCGCTATGTTTTAAAATAACTGCCATGTGTGGAATAAACAAATAAATAAATACATGTTAAAGAAATATTCAGATATTAATAAAACATTTTTTTAAACTAATATTAATATATTAATAAAATAGCAATATTAATTTAGTTAAGTTTATTAGTTATAGTGTCGTGGACAGTCCCCATTGATCAACTGTCACAAAGAACAGTAAATGGGGCAGCTTTGGCCAACATTGCTAATTTCCAGCTGTTGTCCCCGGCCAGATGATAGACACCTTTTTAAAATCACAATACAACATCATTAGTTATAAAGAAATTATGAAAGACAAGTAGATGGAGGCGAAAGGATAAAAGAGAACAATGAAATGCAAACAACACACGTTACTACATAGGCTACTGTGGGCTATGTCACAATTACATATTAATAAATGTTTCTTATTGTTAAAAATCCCTTCAAAATATTTTAGAAAATAGTTTTCAACCCCAGAATCAGAACAATGCTTTTTTATATAAATATTTCCATTTTGGCAAGAAAAGCTTTTATTGCAGTTATTGTAATAACATATGTGGTTCCTAGAAAACAGAGACAGAGTGAGAGCTCTTCATTTTTATTATATTTCTCTTCCGCATTTCACGGACTTTCCCTTCCGGTAAATATTCACTAGCCCTCCTGTGATTGGCTGTTCAGCTGACAGAATGCTCAGGTGCTCAGGACTGTAATTATCACACAAAAGCTAATTGTCTATTTATTTACTATTTTTGCACTTTTCTTCACACTACGATATGATGATATGATATACTTTATTAATCCCCGTGGGGAAATTGTTTCTCTGCATTTGACCCATCCTAGTGTTAGGAGCAGTGTGCTGCCATTTTGAACGGCGCCCTACTATCATTTTTAAAACGGCACAGTTATTCCATTTTCATTTACTGTACATATTATTTCACAGTAAATTGACATATTCTTAATTTATTTCCCTTTTTGTGTAGCCATTTGTATGTGTTGTGAACATTTGTTTTATTTTATAATAGTCTTTTTTTTACAATAAGTTTTACAGTATGTATTTATTTGCTCTTGTTGTACATGTTGTTTCTCTTAGATGTATGCTTTAATTCACACCAAAGGACATGTGTGTGTTTAAGATAAGATAAAATAAGATTTGCTTTATTGATTTATTAAATAATCACTTTATTGATCTCAATTTGGGATTTATTTGTATTGATTGAGTAAACCCAATTCTGATGACACATTCAGACCAGTCATTATTAGGACTGAATAAGAGGAATCTAAATGTCCTGTCATCAACTGCTCCTGACAACTCAATGGCAAATGAATGTACAGCAACAGTTTTAAAGTCTGTCAACACCATTACGAGATATAACGCCATCAAACACCCTTTCACGTGTGTAAGCTCAACACCATATACCAGCCAATAGTGTCCATGGCTCCATTAACCAATTAGGGGTCATCATTAGTGGAAAGAGTCACTGTTTGGCGTCTGTTGACCCTCCCTCTGAAATGCACACTGCACACTCTGTCCTGTATGTCTCTGGTACAATAACTACCATCACTCAAATACCACTTCCTGGCTCATGCCCCCATGTTCGTTGCCACTTATCATTCATTTAACATCATTCTATTTGCTAAATATCATTGTGCTTGTGAAAAGTATAATGAGTAAGAAGAGGAATTAGAAAAAGAGGAAGTTGAGCAAGTGAAACTGGCAGGAGCTTAAATTAGATTTCAACGATGTGTGTCGCAGATTTCACATGAAGACCGTCCTCATGGCTTCACATCAATGATAACTTTATGTTTTAATTTAAACAATATACCACATCCATCTCAGTCTTATTTGTACGTTTAGTCTGTAATCCTCCTTTTTCTTATAATTTTAAACAATTGGTTAATTCATGGTTACAGTCATACACTGTATTGCACTGCAATTATGTCATTTTACCTGCATTGTTAGATACTATATTATCCATCACTTTACATTTGTAGAGTTCATGTTACTTGTTACTCCATTAGATTCACTTAAAGGTAGGGTAGGTACTTTTGGAGGAACCACTCAATAAAATACACAACCGGAAACAATCTGCCACTTCCTCACAGAGCCCCTCCTCCAACACACACGAACGCGCACATGACCAATGAGGGCACGAGATAAGTTTGTGCCCAGATGGAAGGCTGACAGGCAGGTAGGCCATCCAGTTACTTTAGCCGGCTCAGATGATTGGTCGTGCTTTTTACAGCGCCACGGCTTCCACAGATGAATTTTTTATGTATTTTTTGTCAAAGCACTTCAGATATTCATTGCTATCGGGATGTTCAGAGCATTCTATGGAATATAACAACAAGTGTATCTCGAGCCGGTTTCTCAAACTTACCTACCCCACCTTTAACTGTTATGTTTCAATGTAGCTATAGGCTACATGGTAAGAATACACATGTTGTTCATAAAGAAACGCTGATTGTGTGTAGGAGTTTTACTTCAGATAAGCACACTCCGAAAAGGAAATCTGTTTATAGAGTAATGATAAGAACTGGTTTTCATTTTGGTTTTCACTATGATGTTGTTGTCTTTGCTACACCTCATATCTAGATTTGTTTCGCTAGAGTTGGGCAACCCACTTAAATGTACTCTTTATATTTATTTGTAATAATAATACATTGGAGTGACACATACTTGGAAAGGCACTTCTTCCTTAACCATATTTATACTCGTAAATAACACGTGTGTGTGTGTGTGTGTGTGTGTGTGTGTGTGTGTGTGTGTGTGTGTGTGTGTGTGTGTGTGTGTGTGTGTGTGTGTGTGTGTGTGTGTGTGTGTGTGTGTGTGTGTGTGTGTGTGTGTGTGTGTGTGTGTGTGTGTGTGACAGCACCTGTTTGGTTTCTTGCTCAGCTGCAGCCACAAATGGAATGCTGCGCTCTCGCTCCTTATATGGTCGCATCGAGCGTCAAAAGGAAATTGGTGTCACTTCTATTATTGTCCGACCTATAATGCGTAATGTTCCTCCTCTTTTAAAACATGGATAAACAAGCTCTAGCACCACAAAAATACATATTTAAAATACAGATTGTTCTTGAATTACATTCTGAAAAAATAACACGGACTTTATTTTAATCCTGGAAGAAGAGTGAGTTCATTTGAAACAGTGGTAGCTTTTTGTTTCTGCCCGAACACTCCTTTCTGTTTCCGGGTTTGAGAAGACAGCAGTGGTGTGATTTCAGAGGAAGCTGTTATCTGACAAAATGCAGGTTTGTAACTCTTCTTTAAACATTTAAACGCTGTGGTTTGTTTTTGGTGAATGTGGCGCGTTGACATCGGTTGATGTCGAAGTTGTGTGTTGAGAAAATGTGAGTTTTTTTTTTTTTTTTTAGCTTTAGCAGTGTAGCTGGGCGTATCAGCTGTTTAAATGTTAGCTTAAGCTAGCTAAATGCTAATATCACCATTTAGTTTCCTGTATTTTACACTCTATTTTATCTTTGTATTATTTTCCTGTCATTATATGTATCTTTTCGCACTGCCACTGTGTTTTACTCTGTGAAGCCCACTGAGAAACTCACGTGTCTTGTGATATTGGGCTTCTTTGTTTTGATAACCCGATTGGAGGTCAGACAGATGTGTAACTAATCACCATTTTATCAAACATGGGGTTATTAAATACGTTAATATTCCATAAGAGGCCATTTCATGTCAGTGGCAACGTCCCCGGCTTTTTAAAATGAGTCGATAGTCTACAGATATTTCAGACAGTCTACAAAATGTTTTGTTTTTTTAAATATATATATATATAGAAAGAAAGCTAAACTGCTTTTTGCCTGACGAAGGCTAATCCATAGCGTCATTACTTAGAGCTGAAATGTACATCCTGAAATACAGAATGAGTCATGCCTAACGTGACTTTACCTACAGGCGAGGCTTGTTCCCTGGAGCTCTGACCACAGTAGATGAGGAGGATTTAAGCAGAATATATAGTTTAGCTTACCATCCATCCAATCTACTCATTTCTTTCTAAGGGTTAAATCTCGCTCCGCATTGCTGTTGTAGGCAGAGCACTCTAAACTCTTACCTAGAAACTTCCAATACCCCCAGCAGGTTTAGACACAATCATATGTTTATTTTTTCTTTCTGTCAGTTATTTTCGTGTGGCCAGACAACTACCAACAATTCGTTTTCTTTGGATTCTTGAAAACTATCAGATTTCAGTTTTGAAATCATCTTACAAACACAACATATCCAAGCCAAAGGAAACCCAGAATACGAGTAACAGTCGTTATTGCTTTGTTTTTTTCTACAGGACCCAAATGAAGACACAGAGTGGAATGATATCCTTAGGAAGAAAGGCATCCTTCCTCCCAAAGAGGTCCCTAACGATGCCGAAGAGGAGGAGGAGCTGGCCCGCCAGCAGCGGTCTATCGGTAAGAGAAGAACTTGGAATATATATGTTACATGAGTTTTAAAGTGTCCTTCCAACGTACTGTGAAAACGTACAACTGAAAATCATGTGAATTAGATCAAATATGATATTTCGATCTCTAGTGTACTCTAATCAAACCACTGATCAAGGAACTTACAGGAACCCGCAAGCATGAGCACATCACCCCAATTCTGGCTTCCCCCCTCTGGCTTCCTGTCCATTTTAGAGTTCATGTTAAGATGTCATTGTTTGTTTTGAAATCGCTCAATGGGCTGGCCCCTCAGAACATCTCCGACCTCCTACAGGTGTACACCCCCGACCTCCTACAGGTGTACACCCCCGACCTCCTACAGGTGTACACCCCCTCAAGGGCTTTGAGGTCGGCTGATCAGCTGCTGCTGGTAGTCCCTAAAACCAAGACCAGGGGAGACCGAGCCTTCTCAGCGGTAGCCCCCAGGCTCTGGAAGGACCTGCCCCCCCCCATGTCAAATTGTCGCCCACCCTCCAAACTTTTAAGTCCCGCCTAAAGACCTCTTTTCCTTCGCTTTCGAGTCAGCTTGAGTTGTTTTATTGATTTGTATGCTTTTATGTGCCTTTATCTATTCTTATGTGTGCCTTTTATCTATTCTTGTAATATTATCTTTTATTATAATGTTATGTTTGCTGTGAAGGACTTTGGTAAACCCTCTGTTTTTAATATGTGCTCTAGAGATAAAGTGGATTGGATCACTAAGGGTTAGAGCCTTCTCAGAACATGTGATGAACTGCTGTTACTGTCGTGTCTCTGATAGTGAAAACATACGAGGGCATGTCGCTGGAAGATCTGGACGAGAACGAAGATGAGTTTGGTGAGGAAGACGAGGCTGCCATTGAAATGTACCGGTGAGTAGAGATTGGAGCAATAATGTGTATTGTACTGTCTTCTCAAGACGAGTGCATGTCACAATGCAAACCTGCAAACTGGATTTGGCTTCATACTTAAAGAGATGCTGCCAAAGTCAAAGAATTAGCATTTGGTTGGTGGCTTCCTGGAGATCTGTAAGAAGAGTGTGATTGAAAGCCGTTTCATCTGACTGCCCACTGATGAGACATGTTCGTCCCACAGACAGAAGCGTCTCTCAGAGTGGAAAGCGACTCAGCTGAAGAACGTGTTTGGAGAGGTGGTGGAGATCTCCGGGCAGGACTACATCAAGGAGGTCAACAAGGCTGGAGAGGACATCTGGGTGGTGCTGCACCTCTACAAGCAGGGGTGGGTTCTTCAAACAAAGACAAGTACTCGTACAAGAACATATTGGGAGTTATCTCTTGATGCTTGTTCGGGTGAACCCTTTAGACCGTGGAAAAGTCTAGTGTGAATCATTTCCTGTCTGACACAGCACTTAATATCAGGATTTCTTTTCTTTTAGTGAGTCATTTTTAGAGTTGCACAGGAGCTAAACTTAAACCCTCACCTCCTTGCATTTTAAATATTGCTTTTGGCATAGTGATAGATTTATTGATTCACACAAAACAAAAGGCTTTAGCATCAATTATTTCTTAAAGTCAATTATCAAGCACTAATGCTAAATTAGCTTATTTTCCACGTCACTGTTACTGGAACATATACCTGTTTGAACCGGTTGATTAAACAAGAGGAGCAGTCAAAGATAATTAGAGCAGTAAATAATAGTCATTTTGTGGTATTTTCTATCCGCCCATCACTTTTTCAACGTTTTAACACGACTGGCCCTTTATGAGCAGGAAGTGCAACTCTGACAGATGTTTATAAGCTTTCTGTTAGAAAAATCTCACTCGTCACCGGCTTTAGCTTCAATCTCAGGATCCATGTGTTTCTGATCCTCTCAAGAATGGAAGTAGTCATCACATACAGAGCATCAACTAGTTCCTGAACAGTGTCCTTCACATGCTGATATCCAAGAGAGGGAGTTACACAGTCACAAGATGGAGGAATACCGGTTCTTAGGTGATCAAATCCTGTCATGTACAAAATACTGAGTCGTTGACTTTATCGCAAAATCTAAAAATTCTGACTTTCTGCAAAAAATTCTGACTTTAAAAAAAAAAAAATCGTATTTATTTCCCATAATTTTGACTTTTTCACAAAATCTCAACATTCTGACTTTTTCTGAATACTTAAAAATAATAATAATCACTCGTCACCATCAACTAGTTCCTGAACAGTGTCCTTCACATGCTGATATCCAAGAGAGGGAGTTACACAGTCACAAGATGGAGGAATAGAAAGCAGTATTCAATGTTTACTTCAGATTAGCTCCACGTCAGAAATGAGCATGCTTGATGTCTGTCTCCATAGAGGCTGAATCATCATGTTAATCACATAGCTATCATATGCCTCAAACAGTCCTGATGCTCTTCTCGGTAATCACACATCCTGTCATGCACACAGCTGCAGTTGGGATACCTTTGTTATCATGTGACTCTCATACTGGAAGAGGACATTCAGTATTTCCCCAACACTTTCTAATTGTTCTTCTCCTCTCCCAGCCTCCCTCTGTGTACGCTCATCAACCAGCACCTGTCTGTGTTGGCCAGGAAGTTCCCTCAGACCAAGTTCCTGAAGTCCATCTCCACCACCTGCATCGCCAACTACCCCGACCGCAACCTGCCCACCATCTTCGTGTACCGCGAGGGCGACATGAAGGCGCAGTTCATCGGGCCGCTCGTCTTCGGGGGCATGAGCCTCAAAGTGGAGGGTAGGAAGACACTCGCTTACAGAATGAGTTCCAGGACATTAGAGAAGCATTTAAATCAGGGGTGGGGAACCTTTTTCCTCTCAAGGGCCATTTCAATTTTTTCAACATCCTCCGAGGGCCGTTCAAATGATTGACCTCAACGTCTGCTTAAAAATACTAAAATCACAGCCCATTCATTTCACCTTTCTTTCATGCTGTGCAAAGAAAAAGCAACCTCTGAATCCAGATATCTCACCATGACTCGCGCATGCACGTGCACGGTGTGGCATGACCACCCAAACAGAAAGATATGGACACAAGATGTGTGCAAATGTGTTTAGTATCCTATCCATGTGAACATGATTTCAGTTCGGGGGGACCTAACCTCCTCTAGCGGGGTCCGGGGGCATGCTCCCCCGGGAAGATTTAGTTTTAAATGTTAAAGTTAAAAGCATCAATCTGGTGCACTTTGAGAGCAACATTAGGAGATCTATGGATACATCTCTCAACACCCAGATGAAACAGAACTGTAAGCAGATTTATTTTTCTTTATGGATATTTTACAAATCACTCTCCTTTCAAACTGTATTCTTGTTTATTAATAACAACTTTTTGTTACCGTCATATAGTATTTTATACCTGTTTACTTTATTCTCTTATTTTTGTATAACTATAATGATCATATAAAGATGTGGCTTTGCCTCACTGGTTGGAGAAAAAGCTTCTTATATTCGTTAGCATAGCTAGCTAACCAGATGCTAATAACAACAAAGTTATTGACTGTATGATCAGAATGACAGATGAACAGATCGCCACTGGGCTTTCAACTAAAGACACAGCCACGCAAAAACTGCGGCATGTGTACGGCTCCTTATGGGTACTGCAATTTGTGAAGTGCCGGAGTGACGTTCTGGTGCTCTCCGTCAGAACTGCACCACGTGATGACACGTTAGGCTCGTGTTGTGTTCAAGGACCCTGACCTTGGCCAGGAAAAATAGGCACTCGCTTGTTTAATTTCTTTTTTGCGTGTGTTTATAAATGACCTCGAGGGCCGTACCAAATGGTCTCGCGGTCCGTTTACGGGCCGGAGGTTCCCCGCCCCTGATTTAAACCTTAAGGATCAGAGGATGTAAATACTGGGTTCAGCTGTGGATGTTTTTAGAATCGTTGAGTGTCAGTGTGACTGAAATAAAGGGTCTTGGATTTGTCGTCTCAGCAGATTCAGATGTTAATAGTGTTCAAATAGTAAAAACTAAATATATATTTCGTTATATTTTATTGTTTTTGTTGCACATTCTTACTTCAACTTTTCTCTTTATATACATCTTTTTATCCTTTTTTTAACATTCTTCCAAAATGGAGAAATTGTCACAAACCCACATTTCCCCTGTGATAATTAAAGTGTTCTGATTCTGATTGATTTACACAGTTATTGCTGTTTTAATCTTTTGCATTTTATTCAAAAAATGTAGTCTTTCGAAGAACAATGACTTTCTTTCAGTCATACTTGAATCTGTTAAGTGTTGCAGATTTACTCCGACAATTCGGTCAAACAGCCACATCCTGTAAATGTCATCCGATTTGATTGATCTTATCTTTGCCCTGTGTGCGTCCTCAGAGCTGGAGTGGAGGTTATCGGAGTCCGGCGCCGTGAAGACAGAGCTGGAGGAAAACCCACGGAAAGAAATCGAAGACAAGCTGATGTCATCGATCAGAAGTTCGCTTCCTTCCCGAAAGGACAGCGACTCTGAGGACGAGGACTATTAGAAAGAAACGTTTATCGCTCCAGAAACGCTGTGTGGGAAACACTCGGAGGACCTTCGGCAGAGAGGGGGAGCGTCTCCTTTATCAGCAAATACATTTCATATTAAACCATGTGGGTGGATGTTGAACTCCTGCTGGAGGACACTTGGCTGGACCTATGACCTATGACCTTCTGTTGAACCTCCTGTACATTTCCTCGGTGGGAAAACCATTTTGTAATCTGGAATAAACATCCGACTCCATCACCTGAAGATTTACAAACGCGTCAAAGACAAATTGTAACTTTTTTATTACGTTTTCATGATAATTATGTCACAATGTACCTGTACATTTAAATCTGTTGAATTAAATGTGAGTTCAGCTCTTTGCCACAATCATCTGTGCCATCTTTTCCCTTAATTCTCATTGGTTGGGTTGTTTGTGTGACTGTTATTGTTTGTGTTCTGCGTACCCATGTGTTTGGTAGCGCCCCTCATCATCGACTCAGACATGTGGAAGCAGGCAGACACATGGTGGAGCACTTTCTATGTTTTCCAGCTGTACAATCATTTATTTTCTGTTATCAAAAAGTAATTTCTCTGTCACACATGCAGCACGTTGCTCCGTCCGTAGATTCAGATTTAGTCTGCATTCCTGTTTGTAGATTATTCTTCTACAACATATCCTCCGGCAGATCTCGAATCTTCATTGGGAAGAAATAAGAAAGGTCAGTTAATTGAATCTGAACGGTGATGTAATTTAAAAAGATTAACGCTGGTTCTCTTAATGATGAACTACTCCTTTGCTTCCTGGAAAGGGTGACTTCTAGTAAACGGAAGAGAAATAGGCAAGAAACTTTGTTTAAATTAGAATTGTCTTCCTCAGAAACCTTTGTCTAACCTTCCACTCATTACGAAGAGCCTTAATATTCATAAGAAATAGTATTTAAAAATATGAAAAAGGACAAAAGTTGCATGAAAGTATTCGGTGTTGTAGTTTCAGGATGTTACTGCCTGGACAAGTTCTTGCAGCTTTAAGCCAGTTCAGGCAAACATGCATGTGATCAGAAAGCCCCCTGACATATTAACTACATCTGAGAGTTAAAGAACACTATATTATGTACCGTCAAAAATCATAAAGAAATATAACAGCAGGACATTTACTCAATAAACGTGGCGCTGAGGCATTAGCTAGCGAATCGTAGGCAAGGAAAAGGATCCGAAGTCGAGGTAAAATCGTCGTTCTTCCAATAATCTAACATCCAACAAAACAATGACAACCAGTTTTACTTTAAATTGTTTCCCTTTCATTTGGTTATCCCACCTCCACCTGTCTGCCAAATAAATACCCAATCACCCAAAGCTGCCTTCAGAATGAAATCATAAACAACTGCTTTAACTAAACGAATTACACGAACTAATGTACTGAACAAAAACAGCAAGAAATGAAATGTTAAAGGTGGGGTAGGTAATTCGCTTCAGAAACACTTGTTATATTCCATGGAATGCTCTTAACATCCCGATAGCAATGAATATCTGAAATGCTTTGACAATAAATACATACATTTCATCTGTGGAAGCCGTGGTACTGGGGAGGGGCTCTGTGAGGAAGTCTGAAGGAAGGGGCAGATTTTTTCGGCTGCGTACTTTCAAATTCTAGCGCACTCGAGCTGGTTTCTCCATTCTTACCTACCCTACCTTTAACCTATCAAATCATATTAACTAATGTATACATTCAACACCATATGTATGTATGTATGTGTTTCTTACCAAAAGCACCATGTTCTTCTTCCTCCTCTGGGAGAGTTTGGGGAAAAGCCTCATCAGAGGATGAACTGAGTGAGACTGGAGGAGCAAAAAGGAGAGGTGACTTAGAGAGGAATGTTCAGATGACAGAAAGCTTTGGCTTCTTTTATAAAAACGATATCTAAGTAGAAGGCAAAAAGTAAGGATGTGGTGTCAGTAGTGAAACACGGATAAAGTATTGACACTGTAAAACAAATCTCAGCCTATAGCCTACAAATATTACTCTAAAGCAGGGGTGTCAAACTCAATTTCATCACGGGCCACATTGGCATTATGGTTGTACTCAGAGGGCCGGTTGTAACTTTAAGACTATATAAATATACATATATAAATATTTGATATATATGAAATAATGTATTATATTACATTATTGCCTCTGCATTGGATTATTATCTGATAGGGTAATAACTTCATAATTAACTACGTCTGAAAGCAGAAGTCTAGGGCAAATAACTGCAAGTCTCTTCAGTGCGCATGTCACAAAATTGTTTTAAAAGAAAAGTCAAATTCTGGAGAAAAGAAAAGTCAAAATCCCAAAAAAGAAGTGAAATTTGAAAAAAAAAGTAACATTTTGAAGAAAAAATGTCAAATTCTAAGAAAAAAGTCAAATGAGAGATGCATTGTGGGACATGTAGTTTATGGGCAACGTGCTCCTGTAAATCGGCATGTAAACGTATAATAAACATATTATATTCTTTGCAAGTTCTTGTGGGGCCGCATGAAATTAAGTCACGGGCCGGATTTGGCCCCCGGGCCTTGAGTTTGACACATGTCCTCTAAAGAGATGCTTGAATTCCTGAATATTGAGGAAAAACGTGTTCGATGATTCAGCTTTTGGCTCCTTTTACACAAACTACTGTCATTTTGAAGGTGATTTAACATTTCAAACAGGACATTTTGACCTGTTTGAGATCATGATTAAAAATATCCTCCTACCATTTGCTTGCTGTCTCCTCTGGAGAGCACAGGTTGCTGCATAGCTCCGATAGAGTTGCGTGCTTTAGAGTAATGAAACAGGAACTGAAAAAGGGAGAACGTTGAGACGTCAGTATGTGCTGCTGCTGAAAAATATCAGAAATGACCAATGAGAAATAAGCAGAACTGAGAGGGAACACTTACTCTTTTAAACACTTTCTGGTCTTGCTCCTGTGGGGAAACAATTCAGATTATTCACACGGTGTTTATAGCTTAGATATTTCTGCTCGTTGCTTAAAGTACAAATAAGTGACACACCAATCGAACTCCTGTAAATTCAGATTTTAATGCAATGTAAAAATCAATGAAAAAATGTCATAATAAGAACATAAGAAGCCACTTTCAGAGGACATTTTGTCACAAGTGTTTAACTCTAGAGTTTATTGATAGTCGTGTTGCATAAGTGTGTGTTGCTGTTGATTGGTCCATCACAAATCAGACCATTAGGTTTAAAAGAAAATAGATTAAAATGGACTCTGCTTTTGAGACCAGTTCATTTTTACTATGTGTCATTGCCAATGCTTCTAACACTACAAACTGTTAAATACTTAGAAATGAGTTTGATAATTAAGATTGTTTTAAGATGGTAAACTGAGACTTGTGTTTGCTTAGATATTTGCATAAAGTACAAATAAGTGACACAAAAACCGAAACCCCTTTAAAGTCTGAGTTAAATACAAGTTAACAATCAATAAATGATTTCCATATTATACCAGTAACTGATTTATTTCATCATTTTAAGGTAGCAGCATAATCACTGAACGCCACTAACTCTCAGCTTTCTCACTTCCTTGCTGCCCTCCTTTTCAAATTGTGAAAGACAACCTGTATTTAGTAAGAAAACCCAACCGCTACATGATGAAAAAGCTCGATTGTGATGTTTTGAATTATTTAGGGTAAAGTTAGCCTATTCCCGCTGCTCTCAGCTCTTGATTAGCAGAATCAAAAATAACTGTTAGCAACAGAGCTTTTGGGAAATGTGTTAGTTGAATGTTGACAGCACTAAACTGCCGAAGGTCAGAGGTCACCAATCACATCCACGCACTATGGCCTCATGTTCACAGTGATTATATCAATGTGTCACAGTTCATTTAGACCAGGGGTTCTCAAAGTGCGGCCCGCGGGCCAATGGCGGCCCTCGGAAATGTTTCTGGCGGCCCGCGATAGTTAATGTGACACGCTGAAATGCATGCGTTATATTTTAATCCTCCATGGTTCGTATCTAGTAAGAATTAGAATTTAATTTAAGAATGGTAAAACTGCGCCCCCTGGGTTGTCATTCTTAAATTATGAATGACAGCTTGTGGAAAGTTTGCTAGACTACTGGTTGCATGGCAACTAGGCATCTCGCGAGTTGCGGTTAAGCGGAAAATCTGTTGTAAGTTATCAGAATCAGAAACGGGAGTTAGCTAGCTATTTTAGCTAGTCACTGTCTGTAGATAATCCAACTTTGTGTCCTCTGCAAGTTCTTAATGTATACTGTATGTATAATTGGTTAGTACAATAAAGAAAGGATTTGTTTTGGAATTATTTTGTGTTCCGTTTTTTCTTGGGCGGCCCTCAATCCAATATTGGGTACCTAAATTGGCCCTCACTCATCAAAACGTTGAGAACCCCTGATTTAGACTATAATGTTGTATATCTGAGAAACATTACAAAATACTGCATATGTTTACCTCATCCTGATCTCCCCATAAAACATCACTCAAGTCATCGCTCTGGATGTCTCGCACCTGCAGAGAAACATCAACTTCAATATGAATTCATTACAACAACACATTATTTCAGTCTCACTTCTGAGTGCAGCTTCTAAAAATAAAAGAAATCTGAGGATTGGATCTGGATTTATAAGCAGATGTTTGATTTATGGACTTATTTTTGGTCCAGAAAATGATCATTAAAACAGATCTTCGATGATAGCAGTGAAATATTTCTGATAATATCTGACAAGTAGACAAACTAAAGCTCCATGGTTTCTTCAATTGCTCTTTTCTTAACCAGATTCCACTCTGTTTTTAACTTGTGCATTTCAGAATAAACTGTTATTACTAACTTTTAATTGACATAGTATAAGATGTTTACATTTCGTTATTTGTACACTGACCTATCATAGTGTACACTGACTTTAATGCTGTATATTTATATTGAGCATTCAATAGATAGTCTCTATGTATCTCTCACTGTGTACTGTATCTTATGAATGATTGATAATTCAAGTGATTAGTTAATTAAACAACCTCATTTTTTAACTCACAACCCTGAAATTAACGTTTTATTATCTAGAACCAAAGAAGGCTGATTAGAAAAAGAAAAAAAACATGCACTAACTTGTCAAAAAGTATTAATGTTAGAGAAATTACATTTTTGGACGAAGATATTCCCTTACCTTTCTTAACTCTATCCCGTCTTCCCACTGATCGAAAACACTGGCATCTGTGAGGAGAGAAAATGTGAGAAAATTAATAAAACATTTCTGTGCAAACGTAGTGACATCACTATTGGCTAGCACTTCGACACATTGTACGTGATAGGCTAAGGGGCGGGACATCTCTAAGCGGTTGACCAATCACAACAGCTAACCAATCAGAGCAGACTGGGCTCTGGTTTCAGACAGAGGGTGAATAGAGGTGCTGCAGCACAGGCAGTATGAGAAAAATAAAGAGCTTTTTGAACATTTTAAATCACAAATATATTTTACTTTTGTGTCTTTGAGCAGGTGTTTCTGTCAATACTTTATCAAGTAACTATGCATGAGGTTTATAAATCATTTTAAAGGCTTGAAATACTTCTTCTGACACGGTGTTAAGTGAAAGGTAGATGTATTTAATTGGTTATGTAACTAACACGTTAAAGAGCAAGAAATAGTTCATTCATAATAATCTTATTTATAATAATAATAAAGCTTTGTCTTAGCTTTTTGAGTCATAATGAAGATCCTTGTAAAAATTAGATCAAATACAATTTAGTTTATTTTCTACAAATGTACGCATATGCACTGCAGATGTATAAATATAAATGAGTAACCTTTTGTTAAGGACATTAACAAACTGACCTGCTGGCATGTTATAATAGCCTCATTAATTATTAATAATTAATGAGCATAGGTCTCAGATACAAATATATAAAAAACATGTCTATGAAGTGTTTTGCTCAAAATACCAAACAGATCCCCCATTCTAGCCATGCCTCATATCCCTCTATTTCACTTCCTGTTCAAAAAGTGCTGATTTTGGGAATAAAGCTTTAAAAATTGATTAAAATAAAAAGGAGGGTCTGAGCTCATGCGGGACCCGGCAGCTACTGTCTAAACTAAATGCTGCCGTGATGAAACGCCATATCATGGATTATCAAGGATTCTCTCTGAAACAGTCTGGAGCTCAAAGGCTTTCTCTCTTGCCGGTTATACCACAAGGCGAGTTCCTTTTTACTTCCTGCTTCTTCACACACATGCTCTCCAGTACAGGTTAGCTCTGAGTGTTAGCGATGCTAATGTAAACACCGACCATATTACGTCCAAAACAGTCGGGCATTGTTTCTGATAGCAACGCTTCTGATTGGGCCGTGGGTCCACATTTCAGATATTACGTGATATCGGACGCAAATCTGGATCAGCTCCGTTGTAGCCCCGTTTTTAGAGATTTGGGTACGGAGGAAAAGAGAGAGGGTTTTGTTTTCTGACGCTGCGTGAGTTCCCCGACACACCGGGGACACATGTTGATGTAGAGAAGACATCAGAAAGTGCATTTTGCATGATAGGTCCCCGTATTATCCACTTATCCATGAATGAAGTACATTAAGTAACTTTATATATACTTTGTATTATTTATGGTTTCATCTCCTATTATCCCTATGATGGAAAAGCTATATCTAGTTTTCTATAATGAGCCCTTTTAGACCTAGAGGTGTTTAAGAAGTGAATCCAATTCATGGTTTTTGCCCTCATCATTTAGAGGGTATTTGTTATTTACATTTACTGACATAAACAAACTCTCATTCCTTATAATATATCCTATATATATCTCTATGATTAATAACTTCTATACATTCATAATAATAAGCTGAAATGTTGCCCCTTTTTGCCCCAGATGTATTTAAAGAGTCAATCCAATTGATCTTTTTTTCAGGCTATATTTTTATTTCTTGCATTTACACAATTTTAGCATTTGAATTGAGTCACGCTTTCAAACTCAATATCAAATATAATCATCCACTTGTTGTGCTCCAGCACCCAAGAAACCAGAATAAACACTCATTTACAATGCATTTATTTACTATTTATAACATCTGTATTTATCTATATCTGTCCAAACCCTGCACCTTATATGTGTTCTTTGAATTATTGAAAACGAATGCGCTTTATTACTATTTACACTTTGTGGTTGGAAGCAAATTGTATTTCGTTGCAATGACAATAAAGTTGAATCTAATTGAATCTAATCTAAACATAAAATAAACCAGACTACATTTACTTTATAGTATTTGATCTCCTGTAGCCCCTTTTTGCCCTAGATGTTTTTAAATGAGTGAATCCAATACATGACCATAGGTACTGACCTGAGTACAGGTTAGTTGTTACTTACACTTAACCCTTGTGTTCGAAAGCTGTTACCGTTCATGGTGTTCGCGGGTCAATTTTGACCCATGATTTATCTCAGTCCAAAACACTAAAAAATAATGACTACCATCCAATATTGTTTTAACTACATCATAACTAACTTATTATGCATTCATAACCGTACAATCCTGTTGTTATTTTATGTTATGGCCCCAAAAAACATTACACCACATATTTAAGTAAAACGTGATTAAATTCACTCATTACATTTCCTATAGTGAAGTGGATCATTACGTTATCTGACTATAATAGAATATTAGAATACAATCTCCCCAAAGTTGGAAATGATTGTTACAGTGGATGAAGGGGGAGGGGGAGGGGTGTCTAAAGTCAAAGATGGATCTTGATTGCGCCAAATTTGACCTCGAGTCACCCAAAACAATTCTGCCGGGTCTCCCCAGACCCCAACACCAAATGATACACTTTTTTTAGAGACCTTCAGACTTGGCTAAAATAGTCCAAATCAGTTGTGTAGTGTTTATATAGCTGCTGTGGAGGATATCATGAAGCCTGGAGCGCAGTTATTATATCATTTTAGCTTGAAACGGGTCACGGGAGACCCGAACACAACATAAGGGTTAAAACGACATAAACAAACCATAGTATTTCATCTCCTATTATCTCACTTATTTGCCCCATAATGTGTTAAAGAATACATATTTTTTGACCTCATGATTTACAGGTTACTTATTACTTTCATGAACACGTTTTTAGCATTTGAATTGAGTCGCTCCATGCTTTCAAAGTCAAAACATGTAAAATATGATCACTCACCTGTTGTGCTCCAAGATCCAAGAAACCAGAATAAACATAAAAGAAAAAGTTGTCTGACAGTCGGCAGAGGCATCTCCTCTTCCTCTTCCTCTTCCTCTCTTTTACGCTTGTCTTTTTGGAGAGGATGTTCCTGATGTTGCTCGGCTGCTTGTTTTAGTCTCTTCTCCTTCTTCTGTCTTCTTTATGTGCAGCAGATCTTTAAAAGCACACTGTCTCATGCAGGCATCCCCCTGTGAGCAGAGGTGACCAATCACACGATCCGGTCATCAGCACACTCGCTTGCGCACATCCAACCCACACACACACACACACCCCCCCACACACACACACACACACTTTTCTGGGAACACTACTGCACGGGGAATACTGGGGTGTTCTGTTTTTTGTTACTGATTTGTTTTTCTTAAACCCACTGTGTGCTGATGGAGGATATGAGCGGGGTCTCCATCCGCTTGAGAGGGAAATTGATGATTAATAATTACAAAATGTGTCACAGTGATGTTTACTAGGACTACTATACTAATACATCATTCAGTGATGGAGAGGGTGAGTCACTTTTGTTTTTTTGACACATGCAAAAAGCTTTTATAGGAATTGTTTTATAGTCAGCCCTCCATGATGTCAAAGGAGGGCAATAAGTGTGTATTGATCCGGTTAACTGAACACATTTACACAGGGTTGGGAGGGGTATTTTAATGCATTACAAAGTGTAATCAACCTAAACTGTAACGACTGAATGAACACAAGTGGAGGACTCAATAGCATGACTCAGAGACAGAGGCTTAGGATGCAAAAAAGGTCTTATAGCCAAGGTTCGGCACACGGGAGATCAGTCAATAAGGCTAACAGAACAGACGAGGAGTAGACAGGGACCGGGTCAGGACACGAAGCTGGGTCAGGTACACGTGGAATCAGATACTAGGAAAAACACGGCTGGAACGCTAGGAATAACTTGGATGAACTGGCACTGAAGGGAATGTGGGAGAGGGAGAGATGATAATGGGGCACAGGTGAGGCTAATTAGAGATGGGAAGCAGGTGGAGTTCAATCAAGGGCAGGAAAGCTGAGACTGAAATGAGAGAAACCACAATGAGAACAGGACCAATAACAAAAACATCAACATGCTGGCTAGGCCCTTACAAATCTGAGTATCAAAATGTTCTTCACGTTGCTTTTGAGTTACCTCAATATCAAATGGAATGCAAATAGATAATAAAGAAATGATAATAAAAAAATGTGGTGTATTATGTAATATAACAGAACTATGTAACCTTAGAAAATAAGAAACCACTTTATTATATATATATAATAAGAAAAAACGTGTCCTCTGGGCAGAGATTGTATCAATAGGACAGAAAAGTACAGCATGAAATCATGTGTTTTTATGTGTTATTGATGTTATTATGTTGTTTACTGGAGTATATAAATACGGTTAAGGAAGAAGTGCCTTTAAAAGTAAGTGTCACTCCAATGTATTATTACAAATAAATAAAGAGTACATTGAAGTACACACACACACACACACACACACACACACACACCCACACACACACACACACACATACACTCATACCATGCATACATCACTTCAGGGGACATTACATTGACTTACATGCATTTCCTGGAGACTTATCCTAACCTTAACCATAACCAACACATGCCTAACCCTAACCCTAATCCTAATCCTAACCAAGTCTTCACCCTCAAATTCATGATTCCCCTCATGGAACCTCCATGATGTCCCCATAAGGGAGGCGAGTCCCCACACGTGACTGTGTAAACAGATGTAGGTCCCCACAAGGATAGTAATGCTAGGCCACACACACACATAAACAAACACACACACACACACACACACACACACACATGTTGTTTACTGGAGTATATAAATATGGTTAAGGAAGAAGTGCCTTTAATAGGATTTTTTCTCGCCGGTCAAATGTCCGGGCAGAATTTATTTTACCGGATAAATTTGAAACTTACCGGTCATATTTCAATAATAATAATAAGAGTTATTAGCAGAGTTTCCGTTAGCAGGTAATTACCGGACTATGAGCAAATATGCTGATGTTTAAAACTCAGTTCACGGGTCTCATTTTTATATTGCTTCAGTCTATAATCGTAACAGATCGAAAAAATTCAGATTCATTTTTCAATAAATGATTCCACAAACAACAAACAACATAATGATTACATTCAAACAAACTACTTGTAGTAGATGAAGTACATTATTCAAAAGTTTACATTAACTTTGAATAATCACACGGGAGAAACGGATCCTCTCTTTTCCCCTCTCCCTCCCTCTCTCTCCTGACAGCCCGTCAGTTTCTCATGCAGCTCGCTAAACAGAGGGCGGGGCTTCAGGTGATCATGCAGAGCTGCGTGTCTCTGTCAGACTCAGCAGCTGATCTGATCTCTCTCTCGCGTGTCCGGTTATACTTCACTCGCGTTTATGTCCATATCGATCAGATCCAGCTCTCCTGATCGGCCTTTATAGAGAGCACCGATCAAACTATTAACAGTGAATATCGGCCGATAATGACCGGTGGCCGATCTATCGGAGCCTCCCTAATTATTACCAGACATTTTGACCGGCAGGTTTTGAATTGACCGGTTTTTAATACATTTTACCAGCTAAAAACCGGTAATTACCGGCTAACGGAAACCCTGCTCCAATGTATTATTACAAATATATAAAGAGTACATTGAAGTACACACACATACATACACACACACACACACACACACACACACACACACATACCATGTATACATCGCTTCAGGGGACATTACATTGACTTACATGCATTTCCTGGAGACTTATCCTAACCTTAACCATAACCAACACATGCCTAACCCTAACCCTAACCAAGTCTTCACCCTCAAATGAATGATTCCCCTCATCATTATGTCCCCATAAGGGAGGCGAATAAATATCTTGGTTCCTTCTTTTCTAAGGTCACATTGTTCTGTCGTCTAACATAAAACAGTAACAAAACATCTTATTGATATTTATTTTCTCTTGTATTTATTTTAACTGCATTTGATATTGAGGTAATCCAAAAGTAACAGAAAGTAATCATTACTTTTTTCTATGTTGATGATTAGATTAGGTCATTGATCACATTTACTTACAGGTAACTATAATTGTAATGGTGTACATTTGTAAAGTCACCCTCCCTAACCTGACAGTTTTTCTTCTTTAGAATAATTGTATCTTGTGACTGCAAACAAGTCACACTTTCACATCTGTCATATCTGTAGACTAAACAGAGCTAAATAGAACAAACTGTCTCCCTGTCTTGTGGCCAAGATAAAAAAGCAATAAACTCAAACACTGTTGACTCTTGAATCCTCCCAGTATGTCGCACATTTGAAGATCTGGTAATCACAGGGCATCTTGTGTGATTGGCCCGCACAGAAAGGGAAGGAAATGGGAATAATTGAGCCTCGGAGAAGTAGCTGAAGAGCTTCTTGGACACTTTCTCATTTTGACAAGTGGAAATGTTCCACTTGATGGCTCTTACACACAGAGAAGCAAAACCAAGGGCTTGAGTAATGACCTGTGCTTTAGCCACGCTATCGGTGTCCCTGAAGCGATGCCAACATCAGTCGCTCCAAACAATTAGACACGTATAGCCGTGACATTTGGTACGGACATCCATGGTTTCTTATCTCATCACTGAAACAATCAATTGCACTGTTTTGTCCTCTGTCTCTCTGCACTGCTTAACATTAACATCGTCTTGTAATGTAAATTGTATGTTTTGATTTCGTTTTCAGTAGCATTTCCTGTATTGTGAGCGTCTACTGTATGTTGCATATTTATAAAGCTTTATTTAGCTTATAACATTAGATAGAGTTCTACTTACTTACTCCTGACTTATTTCTTGCTTTAAATACATCTACCTTTTACTAAACACAGTGGCAGAAGAAGAAGTATTTAAAGCCTTTACAATTCTTTATAAATCTTTAAAAGTACAGAGGGACCTCATGTTAAATAAACTCAGTTACAAATAAAAGTATTAGCAGAAACACCTGCTCAAAGACACAAAAGTTGTTTATTATGTGAAACGTTCAAAAAGCTCTTTATTTTTCTCATACTGCCTGTGCTGCAGCACCTCTTTTCACCCTCTGTCTGAAACCAGAGCCCAGTCTGCTCTGATTGGTTAGCTGGCCGGCTCTATTGTGATTGGTCAACCGCAAAGCGATGTCCCGCTCCATCACATACAAGGTGATGGAGCGCTAGCCAATAGAAGTGCGAGTATTACGTAGTCATGTCACTATGTTCCGGAAGTAAACAATAGCCGCTTTCACACCAAGTACTTTGCTGTACTTAGTGCCCCGGCAATTATTACCCCAGGGCACTACAGATCGCGTTCACACCGGAATAAATTCCCCGAGGGAGGATTAGGCAAATGAAGCCACTGACGTCACTTCTTCTTCTTCTGCTTTGGGTTTACTGGCAGGCCGCAAACCACTTCACGGCGTATACTGCCGCCCAAAGTCCCCGGTCGGAAGTCCCCGGAGTTGGGGAAGGCTTCAGTAGAAGCTGCTGGGAGTCCCAGCAGCTTCTACTGAAGCCTTCTGAGTAAATCGCCAGAACGCCGACACCTCCTCATCTCCACCGCTCCCATGTTTTATTTTGTGTTACCATAAATTGGTGCGCGGGGCTAATGCTAATGCTAATAATGCTAATGCCAGCAAATACAATGGCGGCTTCAAAAAACTTTTCAGAGTTTTACGGGGCGTGGTTTGCAATTCGCGCAGCCAATCGAAATTGGTACTTTGTTCTCCCCAGGATAGTCCCACCTCTCTAGCAGGCACTAAAAATGGGGGTAAAAGTTCTCGGGACGGGAACTAAGTACTCTTTTTGGTGTGAACGCAAAATTCCAGGCACCAGACGGGAAAAGTACTCCGGTGTGAACCCAAGGAGTCCAGAGAAACCCCCTGGAGGGAGCTTTGGGATTTTAGCCTTTGCAGACCATATTAGATTAGCACAAAAACCGATAACACACTAATGAAAACCCCAAAAAGCACAATAAGAACTCTTTGAGTACAGTAATAAATAAATAAATGGCGCCCAAAAGATAACTCTGTCTGAATCAAGTGACTTTCATGTAGAACTTATATCTGCAATGTGTAGAAAGTTGACACTTCCTGTCCTTCTAGTCCCTGCCATACTTGTGTTGAATCAGTGTCTCGGGATAATATGGTGCGTGATCTACCCTTCAACATAAATGTGCCGTTTGCTTATCCGCCGCTCCTGAAGCATCTCCCTGTGGTCAGATACATACGCTGACATATGTGCCAGGCCTACAGCTGCTGCCTGTGGGACGCTCACACCAGCAATACTGCATGATGGGAAAGTGTCCTGCAGTCTGGAGGTTTCACAACAGCCTTTTCAACTGATTGGTTTGTTGTTTCTTCACCATAAATGTCTTGTGG